GGGGTGCAGCGTCATGATTTTGATAACTTTTAATGGCCACGGGGTGTAGATTGGCCTGAGCAAATGTGGTGCCGGTGGAACGAAAGCCTTCGGAGGAGTTAGCGAAATTCCAATGTGTGCGGATCGGCAAAAAATGCGAAATAACCCTTTAACCGTAATTTTGACAGATACGGCCGCACTGACTTTTTTGTAGATCTTATTGAGATACATATGTGTGTCAATTTTTGTGTCAATATGACAAAGCGTACAGGCGTGACAGTCAATAGTGTGAATTTCCACCTTAGGGGGCGCTATGGAGCCATTTTGCATTTTATTGTTTGGGCGACTTCAGAATATCGAATTTTTCACCAGGCCCGGTCGTCCTGCCAAATTTCATGAGTTTTCGCCAGTGGGAAGTGGGCTATTTTCCAGTTCAAAGGGGAGGAAAAAGAAGAAACTAGGGCCCCGGTGGGGCACTGTCGGGCCCGAGCGGCGTCGCGCCGCCCCCAGCGCGACCGCCTCCCCCTCCCGATCGCGTCACACTCAAGGTCCAAAGATGGTGTGCGCACTTGTCTGTGGTCATTTCCCATTATAATGAATGGGAGGCGCAGTTTCTACCAAAACACTCGCTGCAGACAAACTACATGTCCTATTTGAAAAAAGTCTGGACCATGAGTGAGGGCACAAACACAGCTAGGATATATCCAAATGGCAAGTTGCTCCTCCTTACGGTGTTGCCGGGAGAGCGATGCGATTGAGCCATTGAGCGATGGGCAGGAAAAACTTGACTTTTCCTCCTGCCTTGGGGGGGAGGGGGGGGGATGTGGATTCTTTTAAGAATGTGGATATTTGGGTCATCTTTGGCGCCCCCTAGAACGTGAGCCGTGGGGTGCAGCGTCATGATTTTTACAACTTTGAATGGCCATGGGATGTAGATCGGCTTGAGCAAATTTGGTGTCGGTGGGACGAAAGCCTTAGGAGGAGTTAGCCACATTCCAATGTGTGCGAATCGGGAAAAAATGCGAAATAGCCCTTTGACCGTACATTTGACAGATACGTGCCCATTGACTTTTTCGTAGATCTTATTGAGATACACATGTGTGTCAAATTTTGTGTCATTTTGACAAAGCGTATAGGCGTGACAGTCAACAATGTGTTTTTTCACCTTAGGGGACAAGAAAAAATGGACTTTTTTCTCCTGCCATGGGGGGGCGCTCTTTTGGAGAGTAAAAATTCCTTTACAAATGTGTTGATGGCTGGACATTGCATCATCCTAGAAAACTTGGAGGCCAGTGAGGACAAAAATAAAAAGTTATAAGACTATTAAGAATGTGGATTTTTGGGTTATGTTTGGTGCCCCCTAGAACCTAAACCGTGGAGTGCAGCGTCATGATTTGAATAACTTTGAATGGCCATGGGGTGTAGATTGGCCTGAGCAAATGTGGTGCCGGTGGAACGAAAGCCTTCGGAGGAGTTAGCGAAATTCCAATGTGTGCGGATCGGCAAAAAATGCGGAATAACCCTTTAACCGTACATTTGACAGATACGTGCGCATTGACTTTTTTGTAGATCTTATTGAGATACATGTGTGTGTCAATTTTGGTGTCATTTTGACAAAGCGTACAGGTGTTACACTCAACAATGTGTATTTTCACCTTAGGGGACAAGAAAAAATGGACTTTTTTCTCCTGCCATGGGGGGGCGCTCTTTTGGGGAGTAAAAATTCCTTCACAAATGTGTTGATGGCTGGACATTGCATCATCCTAGAAAACTTGGAGGCCAGTGAGGACAAAAATAAAAAGTTATAAGACTATTCAGAATGTGGATTTTTGGGTTATGTTTGGTGCCCCCTAGAACCTAAACCGTGGAGTGCAGCGTCATGATTTGAATAACTTTGAATGGCCATGGGGTGTAGATTGGCCTGAGCAAATGTGGTGCCGGTGGAACGAAAGCCTTCGGAGGAGTTAGCGAAATTCCAATGTGTGCGGATCGGCAAAAAATGCGTAATAACCCTTTAACCGTACATTTGACAGATACGTGCGCATTGACTTTTTTGTAGATCTTATTGAGATACATGTGTGTGTCAATTTTGGTGTCATTTTGCCAAAGCGTACAGGTGTTACACTCAACAATGTGTATTTTCACCTTAGGGGACAAGAAAAAATGGACTTTTTTCTCCTGCCATGGGGGGGCGCTCTTTTGGGGAGTAAAAATTCCTTCACAAATGTGTTGATGGCTGGACATTGCATCATCCTAGAAAACTTGGAGGCCAGTGAGGGCAAAAATAAAAAGTTATAAGACTTTTAAATATGTGGATCTTAGGGTTATCTTTGGCGCCCCCTAGAACCTAAACCGTGGGGTGCAGCGTCATGATTTGAATAACTTTTAATGGCCATGGGGTGTAGATTGGCCTGAGCAAATGTGGTGCCGGTGGAACGAAAGCCTTCGGAGGAGTTAGCGAAATTCCAATGTGTGCGGATCGGCAAAAAATGCGCAATAACCCTTTAACCGTACATTTGACAGATACGCCCGCACTGACTTTTTTGTAGATCTTATTGAGATACATGTGTGTGTCAATTTTTGTGTCATTTTGACAAAGGGTACAGGCGTGACAGTCAATAGTGTGAATTTTCACCTTAGGGGGCGCTATGGAGCCATTTTGCATTTTCTTGTTTGGGCGACTTCGGAATATCAAATTTTTCACCAGGCCTGGTCGTCCTGCCAAATTTCATGAGTTTTCGCCAGTGGGAAGTGGGCCATTTTCCAGTTCAAAGGGGAGGAAAAATAATAATACTAGGACCCCGTTGGGGCACTGGCGGGCCCGAGCTGTGTCGCGCCCCCCCCAACGCGCTGCCTCCCCGTCCCATTTGTGTCCTCTGGCCATCGCCCTCTCTGGTAACGCCCATCACTGCAAAGACCCTTTTCCTTCATCGGCGTTTGCTGTTCTTCCTGCCAGTGCGTGTTGCTTTCACTTACACTTGCCACAGCCAGCCTCGTGAGTGCCTAGCCTATTGGATATTACTGTCACCTACACAGGACAGTCATTACCTTTCTATTAATACTTTGTTTTTTAATTTCACATTAATTTCCATATTGTATAAACGACTGGAAAAAACTTGAGCCCCTGCCCCTGTATAATCATGTGCACGTCTCTGTTCTAGCTCTAAGGTGAATCTTCACTGCTCATGTTCTCCTCAGAAGCAGTCACCTCACTCCCCTCAGGTTACTGTACACATGCACCAACTGCCTGCTTCAGGTTTGGATGGAGCTTCATGGTTGTCTTTTGGAGAAATGACCAGTCAAGTTGTGTTTGAAATTTGATTTTTTTCAGGGGCAAAAGGAGCCTCTGCATTCTTGTCAAATATGTAAATAGCATGTTTTTGCAGGTGCTAAAAACCAGACTCTGAGTGTGTGTGTGTGCGTGTGTGTGTGTGTCTGTGTGTGTGTGTGTGTGTGTGTGTGTGCGTTCAAGTCACATGACATATTTAACCGGATGTAGCTGCAAGACGGAGCCTCGTTGACTCTCCGTTTCAATTTATCTCAAAAGTGAGGACCTCAACCTATATACCAGTTTTTAAATTGTGTTGATAGGCCAAATAAAACCAGAGTTATGATAAATTATGTCCGCGATACTTGTTTTCTGCTTATTTTGATCACATTCGGCGCTCGATCGCGCTGTATGAGACAGGAAAACATAGCATGCAGACATTAGCGACAGGTCTTACAGGCGGAAAAGGCTTGCCAAAAGAAAAAAAAAACACACCACAACATCTCTCCTATTGGTGGAAAACTTCACCACAACAACCAATCCAAAATTATATGGTGATTGATTGACAAGGGGCGGGAACTTACGTTCTTCCTGCAATATGAGAAGGGAGGGAGGGACTCTCAGCAGGGATGCAGTCTGGGACACGTAGTTGCAAACCTAGCGACTTTGTTGTTAGATTCAATGACTTTTCAGACCCCCTAACGACTTTTTTTTTAGAAAGAAAGTGACTTTTATCGACTTCTTCTGGAGTTTAGAGACTCTGACATGAAGCAGGCTTTCCTTACTGAGGAGTTAGCAACGCTGCTAAGGGTGAAGAGCCACACATGCGCTCCGAGCTCTGCATGGGAGACTGAAGCTGACAGAGCTGCAGCAGTTAGCAGGTTTCACCCTCAGAGACCACCAGGGGTTCATGTTGAGGCATTTTCAGTTTTTTTTTTTTTTTTTTTTTGCCATAGACACTGTCAGCACAATCTGCAGTTACACTAACAAAAATGCTGCAAAAAACAAAGAATTATGGAAAAATTACACATGGACTAACATAGAGGAGGATCTACACAAGTTTTTTACATCATGTTTTACATCATGCATCATTTACATCATGTTTTTTTGTAGTGGCATAAATAAAAAGTGACATTTGTGAGACTATACAGTGTTTTGTAAATAATTTTACAAAGAACACCTGGGCCATTGCCTGCATTTTGATGTCAATAGAGGTAAATTACTATGTTCTTTGTTAAAAATTTGCATATGTTTTGAAGTTTACAATTTTTATTTGAAGTTTAAGTTTTAAAAACAGTTCATCACACATATTTGTGGTTTTCACAGTAAAAACGTTACTTTTTTCCACTCGGATTTTATGTTTTGTGTGTGAATTTGGGTCCAATGTGTAAATATAGTATGTCAAAATGATAAAATAACTGTAAATTGACACAGGTGAGGTTGTGCTGAAAAAAATGATACCAGGCAAGGCAAGGTAAAAATTTTGTAAGAGGAAATATAAAGGTAAAATCTAAAGTAGTCAAAAACGGCCAATAGTGACTCACAGACTCCACAGACAAGTCCCTTTGGCGCCACTCAGTGGGCAAAACTACTTTGTCTACTGTAATGTATATTTGGGTCATCTTTGGCGCCCCCTAAAACGTAAACCGTGGGGTGCAGCGTCATGATTTTTACAACTTTGAATGGCCATGGAGTGTAGATTGGCCTGAGCAAATTTGGTGTCAGTGGGACGAAAGCCTTAGGAGAAGTTAGCGAAATTCCAATGTGTGCGAATCGGCAAAAAATGCAAAATAGCCCTTTTACCGTACATTATACAGATACGCGCTCTTTGACTTTTTCGTAGATCTAATTGAGATACACATGATTGTCAATTTTTGTGTCATTTTGCCAAAGCGTACAGGCGTGACAGTCAACAATGTGTATTTTCACCTTAGGGGACAAGAAAAAATGGACTTTTTTCTCCTGCCATGGGGGGGCGCTCTTTTAGGGAGTAAAAATTCCTTCACAAATGTGTTGATGGCTGGACATTGCATCATCCTAGAAAACTTGGAGGCCAGTGAGGACAAAAATAAAAAGTTATAAGACTTTTAAAAATGTGGATTTTTGGGTTATCTTTGGCGCCCCCTAGAACGTAAACCGTGGGGTGCAGCGTCATGATTTGAATAACTTTTAATGGCCATGGGGTGTAATTTGGCCTGAGCAAATTTGGTGTCGGTGGGACGAAAGCCTTAGGAGGAGTTAGCCACATTCCAATGTGTGCGAATCGGGAAAAAATGCGAAATAGCCCTTTGACCGTACATTTGACAGATACGTGCCCATTGACTTTTTCGTAGATCTTATTGAGATACACATGTGTGTCAAATTTTGTGTCATTTTGACAAAGCGTATAGGCGTGACAGTCAACAATGTGTTTTTTCACCTTAGGGGACAAGAAAAAATGGACTTTTTTCTCCTGCCATGGGGGGGCGCTCTTTTGGAGAGTAAAAATTCCTTTACAAATGTGTTGATGGCTGGACATTGCATCATCCTAGAAAACTTGGAGGCCAGTGAGGACAAAAATAAAAAGTTATAAGACTATTAAGAATGTGGATTTTTGGGTTATGTTTGGTGCCCCCTAGAACCTAAACCGTGGAGTGCAGCGTCATGATTTGAATAACTTTGAATGGCCATGGGGTGTAGATTGGCCTGAGCAAATGTGGTGCCGGTGGAACGAAAGCCTTCGGAGGAGTTAGCGAAATTCCAATGTGTGCGGATCGGCAAAAAATGCGGAATAACCCTTTAACCGTACATTTGACAGATACGTGCGCATTGACTTTTTTGTAGATCTTATTGAGATACATGTGTGTGTCAATTTTGGTGTCATTTTGACAAAGCGTACAGGTGTTACACTCAACAATGTGTATTTTCACCTTAGGGGACAAGAAAAAATGGACTTTTTTCTCCTGCCATGGGGGGGCGCTCTTTTGGGGAGTAAAAATTCCTTCACAAATGTGTTGATGGCTGGACATTGCATCATCCTAGAAAACTTGGAGGCCAGTGAGGACAAAAATAAAAAGTTATAAGACTATTCAGAATGTGGATTTTTGGGTTATGTTTGGTGCCCCCTAGAACCTAAACCGTGGAGTGCAGCGTCATGATTTGAATAACTTTGAATGGCCATGGGGTGTAGATTGGCCTGAGCAAATGTGGTGCCGGTGGAACGAAAGCCTTCGGAGGAGTTAGCGAAATTCCAATGTGTGCGGATCGGCAAAAAATGCGTAATAACCCTTTAACCGTACATTTGACAGATACGTGCGCATTGACTTTTTTGTAGATCTTATTGAGATACATGTGTGTGTCAATTTTGGTGTCATTTTGCCAAAGCGTACAGGTGTTACACTCAACAATGTGTATTTTCACCTTAGGGGACAAGAAAAAATGGACTTTTTTCTCCTGCCATGGGGGGGCGCTCTTTTGGGGAGTAAAAATTCCTTCACAAATGTGTTGATGGCTGGACATTGCATCATCCTAGAAAACTTGGAGGCCAGTGAGGGCAAAAATAAAAAGTTATAAGACTTTTAAATATGTGGATCTTAGGGTTATCTTTGGCGCCCCCTAGAACCTAAACCGTGGGGTGCAGCGTCATGATTTGAATAACTTTTAATGGCCATGGGGTGTAGATTGGCCTGAGCAAATGTGGTGCCGGTGGAACGAAAGCCTTCGGAGGAGTTAGCGAAATTCCAATGTGTGCGGATCGGCAAAAAATGCGCAATAACCCTTTAACCGTACATTTGACAGATACGCCCGCACTGACTTTTTTGTAGATCTTATTGAGATACATGTGTGTGTCAATTTTTGTGTCATTTTGACAAAGGGTACAGGCGTGACAGTCAATAGTGTGAATTTTCACCTTAGGGGGCGCTATGGAGCCATTTTGCATTTTCTTGTTTGGGCGACTTCGGAATATCAAATTTTTCACCAGGCCTGGTCGTCCTGCCAAATTTCATGAGTTTTCGCCAGTGGGAAGTGGGCCATTTTCCAGTTCAAAGGGGAGGAAAAATAATAATACTAGGACCCCGTTGGGGCACTGGCGGGCCCGAGCTGTGTCGCGCCCCCCCCCCAACGCGCTGCCTCCCCGTCCCATTTGTGTCCTCTGGCCATCGCCCTCTCTGGTAACGCCCATCACTGCAAAGACCCTTTTCCTTCATCGGCGTTTGCTGTTCTTCCTGCCAGTGCGTGTTGCTTTCACTTACACTTGCCACAGCCAGCCTCGTGAGTGCCTAGCCTATTGGATATTACTGTCACCTACACAGGACAGTCATTACCTTTCTATTAATACTTTGTTTTTTAATTTCACATTAATTTCCATATTGTATAAACGACTGGAAAAAACTTGAGCCCCTGCCCCTGTATAATCATGTGCACGTCTCTGTTCTAGCTCTAAGGTGAATCTTCACTGCTCATGTTCTCCTCAGAAGCAGTCACCTCACTCCCCTCAGGTTACTGTACACATGCACCAACTGCCTGCTTCAGGTTTGGATGGAGCTTCATGGTTGTCTTTTGGAGAAATGACCAGTCAAGTTGTGTTTGAAATTTGATTTTTTTCAGGGGCAAAAGGAGCCTCTGCATTCTTGTCAAATATGTAAATAGCATGTTTTTGCAGGTGCTAAAAACCAGACTCTGAGTGTGTGTGTGTGCGTGTGTGTGTGTGTCTGTGTGTGTGTGTGTGTGTGTGTGTGTGCGTTCAAGTCACATGACATATTTAACCGGATGTAGCTGCAAGACGGAGCCTCGTTGACTCTCCGTTTCAATTTATCTCAAAAGTGAGGACCTCAACCTATATACCAGTTTTTAAATTGTGTTGATAGGCCAAATAAAACCAGAGTTATGATAAATTATGTCCGCGATACTTGTTTTCTGCTTATTTTGATCACATTCGGCGCTCGATCGCGCTGTATGAGACAGGAAAACATAGCATGCAGACATTAGCGACAGGTCTTACAGGCGGAAAAGGCTTGCCAAAAGAAAAAAAAAACACACCACAACATCTCTCCTATTGGTGGAAAACTTCACCACAACAACCAATCCAAAATTATATGGTGATTGATTGACAAGGGGCGGGAACTTACGTTCTTCCTGCAATATGAGAAGGGAGGGAGGGACTCTCAGCAGGGATGCAGTCTGGGACACGTAGTTGCAAACCTAGCGACTTTGTTGTTAGATTCAATGACTTTTCAGACCCCCTAACGACTTTTTTTTTAGAAAGAAAGTGACTTTTATCGACTTCTTCTGGAGTTTAGAGACTCTGACATGAAGCAGGCTTTCCTTACTGAGGAGTTAGCAACGCTGCTAAGGGTGAAGAGCCACACATGCGCTCCGAGCTCTGCATGGGAGACTGAAGCTGACAGAGCTGCAGCAGTTAGCAGGTTTCACCCTCAGAGACCACCAGGGGTTCATGTTGAGGCATTTTCAGTTTTTTTTTTTTTTTTTTTTTGCCATAGACACTGTCAGCACAATCTGCAGTTACACTAACAAAAATGCTGCAAAAAACAAAGAATTATGGAAAAATTACACATGGACTAACATAGAGGAGGATCTACACAAGTTTTTTACATCATGTTTTACATCATGCATCATTTACATCATGTTTTTTTGTAGTGGCATAAATAAAAAGTGACATTTGTGAGACTATACAGTGTTTTGTAAATAATTTTACAAAGAACACCTGGGCCATTGCCTGCATTTTGATGTCAATAGAGGTAAATTACTATGTTCTTTGTTAAAAATTTGCATATGTTTTGAAGTTTACAATTTTTATTTGAAGTTTAAGTTTTAAAAACAGTTCATCACACATATTTGTGGTTTTCACAGTAAAAACGTTACTTTTTTCCACTCGGATTTTATGTTTTGTGTGTGAATTTGGGTCCAATGTGTAAATATAGTATGTCAAAATGATAAAATAACTGTAAATTGACACAGGTGAGGTTGTGCTGAAAAAAATGATACCAGGCAAGGCAAGGTAAAAATTTTGTAAGAGGAAATATAAAGGTAAAATCTAAAGTAGTCAAAAACGGCCAATAGTGACTCACAGACTCCACAGACAAGTCCCTTTGGCGCCACTCAGTGGGCAAAACTACTTTGTCTACTGTAATGTATATTTGGGTCATCTTTGGCGCCCCCTAAAACGTAAACCGTGGGGTGCAGCGTCATGATTTTTACAACTTTGAATGGCCATGGAGTGTAGATTGGCCTGAGCAAATTTGGTGTCAGTGGGACGAAAGCCTTAGGAGAAGTTAGCGAAATTCCAATGTGTGCGAATCGGCAAAAAATGCAAAATAGCCCTTTTACCGTACATTATACAGATACGCGCTCTTTGACTTTTTCGTAGATCTAATTGAGATACACATGATTGTCAATTTTTGTGTCATTTTGCCAAAGCGTACAGGCGTGACAGTCAACAATGTGTATTTTCACCTTAGGGGACAAGAAAAAATGGACTTTTTTCTCCTGCCATGGGGGGGCGCTCTTTTAGGGAGTAAAAATTCCTTCACAAATGTGTTGATGGCTGGACATTGCATCATCCTAGAAAACTTGGAGGCCAGTGAGGACAAAAATAAAAAGTTATAAGACTTTTAAAAATGTGGATTTTTGGGTTATCTTTGGCGCCCCCTAGAACGTAAACCGTGGGGTGCAGCGTCATGATTTGAATAACTTTTAATGGCCATGGGGTGTAATTTGGCCTGAGCAAATGTGGTGCCGGTGGAACGAAAGCCTTCGGAGGAGTTAGCGAAATTCCAATGTGTGCGAATCGGCAAAAAATGCGGAATAACCCTTTAACCGTACATTAGACAGATACGCGCGCATTGACTTTTTCGAAGATCTTATTGAGATACATGTGTGTGTCAATTTTTGTGTCATTTTGACAAAGCGTATAGGCGTGACAGTCAACAATGTGTATTTTCACCTTAGGGGACAAGAAAAAATGGACTTTTTTCTCCTGCCATGGGGGGGCGCTCTTTTGGGGAGTAAAAATTCCTTCACACATGTGTTGATGGCTGGACATTGCATCATCCTAGAAAACTTGGAGGCCAGTGAGGGCAAAAATAAAAAGTTATAAGACTTTTAAAAATGTGGATTTTAGGGTTATCTTTGGCGCCCCCTAGAACCTAAACCGTGGGGTGCAGCGTCATGATTTGAATAACTTTTAATGGCCATGGGGTGTAGATTGGCCTGAGCAAATGTGGTGCCGGTGGAACGAAAGCCTTCGGAGGAGTTAGCGAAATTCCAATGTGTGCGGATCGGCAAAAAATGCGAAATAACCCTTTAACCGTACATTTGACAGATACGCCCGCACTGACTTTTTTGTAGATCTTATTGAGATACATGTGTGTGTCAATTTTTGTGTCATTTTGACAAAGCGTACAGGCGTGACAGTCAATAGTGTGAATTTTCACCTTAGGGGGCGCTATGGAGCCATTTTGCATTTTCTTGTTTGGGCGACTTCGGAATATCAAATTTTTCACCAGGCCCGGTCGTCCTGCCAAATTTCCTGAGTTTTCGCCAGTGGGAAGTGGGCCATTTTCCAGTTCAAAGGGGAGGAAAAAGAAAAAAGAAACAAAGAAAAACCACTTGGGGAATAATAGGGCTCTCGCAGCTGCTTAGCAGCTACGCTCGGGCCCTAAATAACAAAAGAAGGAAACATGCAGGAACAAGAGGGCTCTCGCAGCTGCTTAGCAGCTACGCTCGGGCCCTAACTAGGACCCCGTTGGGGCACTGGCGGGCCCGAGCTGTGTCGCGTCCCCCCCCCAACGCGCTGCCTCCCCGTCCCATTTGTGTCCTCTGGCCATCGCCCTCTTTGGTAACGCCCATCACTGCAAAGACCCTTTTCCTTCATCGGCGTTTGCTGTTCTTCCTGCCAGTGCGTGTTGCTTTCACTTACACTTGCCACAGCCAGCCTCGTGAGTGCCTAGCCTATTGGATATCACTGTCACCTACACAGGACAGTCATTACCTTTCTATTAATACTTTGTTTTTTAATTTCACATTAATTTCCAAATTGTATAAACGACTGGAAAAAACTTGAGCCCCTGCCCCTGTATAATCATGTGCACGTCTCTGTTCTAGCTCTAAGGTAAATCTTCACTGCTCATGTTCTCCTCAGAAGCAGTCACCTCACTCCCCTCAGGTTACTGTACACATGCACCAACTGCCTGCTTCAGGTTTGGATGGAGCTTCATGGTTGTCTTTTGGAGAAATGACCAGTCAAGTTGTGTTTGAAATTTGATTTTTTTCAGGGGCAAAAGGAGCCTCTGCATTCTTGTCAAATATGTAAATAGCATGTTTTTGCAGGTGCTACAAACCAGACTCTGAGTGTGTGTGTGTGCGTGTGTGTGTGTGTCTGTGTGTGTGTGTGTGTGTGTGTGTGCGTTCAAGTCACATGACATATTTAACCGGATGTAGCTGCAAGACGGAGCCTCGTTGACTCTCCGTTTCAATTTATCTCAAAAGTGAGGACCTCAACCTATATACCAGTTTTTAAATTGTGTTGATAGGCCAAATAAAACCAGAGTTATGATAAATTATGTCCGCGATACTTGTTTTCTGCTTATTTTGATCACGTTCGGCGCTCGATCGCGCTGTATGAGACAGGAAAACATAGCATGCAGACATTAGCGACAGGTCTTACAGGCGGAAAAGGCTTGCCAAAGGAAAAAAAATACACACCACAACATCTCTCCTATTGGTGGAAAACTTCACCACAACAACCAATCCAAAATTATATGGTGACTGATTGACAAGGGGCGGGAACTTACGTTCTTCCTGCAATATGAGAAGGGAGGGAGGGACTCTCAGCAGGGATGCAGTCTGGGACACGTAGTTGCAAACCTAGCGACTTTGTTGTTAGATTCAATGACTTTTCAGACCCCCTAACGACTTTTTTTTAGAAAGAAAGTGACTTTTATCGACTTCTTCTGGAGTTTAGAGACTCTGACATGAAGCAGGCTTTCCTTACTGAGGAGTTAGCAACGCTGCTAAGGGTGCAGAGCCACACATGCGCTCCGAGCTCTGCATAGGAGACTGAAGCTGACAGAGCTGCAGCAGTTAGCAGGTTTCACCCTCAGAGACCACCAGGGGTTCATGTTGAGGCATTTTCAGTTTTTTTTTTTTTTTTTTTGCCATAGACACTGTCAGCACAATCTGCAGTTACACTAACAAAAATGCTGCAAAAAACAAAGAATTATGGAAAAATTACACATGGACTAACATAGAGGAGGATCTACACAAGTTTTTTACATCATGTTTTACATCATGCATCATTTACATCATGTTTTTTTGTAGTGGCATAAATAAAAAGTGACATTTGTGAGACTATACAGTGTTTTGTAAATAATTTTACAAAGAACACCTGGGCCATTGCCTGCATTTTGATGTCAATAGAGGTAAATTACTATGTTCTTTGTTAAAAATTTGCATATGTTTTGAAGTTTACAATTTTTATTTGAAGTTTAAGTTTTAAAAACAGTTCATCACACATATTTGTGGTTTTCACAGTAAAAACGTTACTTTTTTCCACTCGGATTTTATGTTTTGTGTGTGAATTTGGGTCCAATGTGTGAATATAGTATGTCAAAATGATAAAATAACTGTAAATTGACACAGGTGAGGTTGTGCTGAAAAAAATGATACCAGGCAAGGCAAGGTAAAAATTTTGTAAGAGGAAATATAAAGGTAAAATCTAAAGTAGTCAAAAACGGCCAATAGTGACTCACAGACTCCACAGACAAGTCCCTTTGGCGCCACTCAGTGGGCAAAACTACTTTGTCTACTGTAATGTATATTTGGGTCATCTTTGGCGCCCCCTAAAACGTAAACCGTGGGGTGCAGCGTCATGATTTTTACAACTTTGAATGGCCATGGAGTGTAGATTGGCCTGAGCAAATTTGGTGTCAGTGGGACGAAAGCCTTAGGAGGAGTTAGCGAAATTCCAATGTGTGCGAATCGGCAAAAAATGCAAAATAGCCCTTTTACCGTACATTATACAGATACGCGCTCTTTGACTTTTTCGTAGATCTAATTGAGATACACATGATTGTCAATTTTTGTGTCATTTTGCCAAAGCGTACAGGCGTGACAGTCAACAATGTGTATTTTCACCTTAGGGGACAAGAAAAAATGGACTTTTTTCTCCTGCCATGGGGGGGCGCTCTTTTAGGGAGTAAAAATTCCTTCACAAATGTGTTGATGGCTGGACATTGCATCATCCTAGAAAACTTGGAGGCCAGTGAGGACAAAAATAAAAAGTTATAAGACTTTTAAAAATGTGGATTTTTGGGTTATATTTGGCGCCCCCTAGAACGTAAACCGTGGGGTGCAGCGTCATGATTTGAATAACTTTTAATGGCCATGGGGTGTAGATTGGCCTGAGCAAATGTGGTGCCGGTGGAACGAAAGCCTTCGGAGGAGTTAGCGAAATTCCAATGTGTGCGGATCGGCAAAAAATGCGAAATAACCCTTTAACCGTACATTAGACAGATACGCGCGCATGGACTTTTTTGTAGATCTTATTGAGATACATGTGTGTGTCAATTTTTGTGTCATTTTGACAAAGCGTACAGGCGTGACAGTCAATAGTGTGAATTTTCACCTTAGGGGACAAGAAAAAATGGACTTTTTTCTCCTGCCATGGGGGGGCGCTCTTTTGGGGAGTAAAAATTCCTTCACAAATGTGTTGATGGCTGGACATTGCATCATCCTAGAAAACTTGGAGGCCAGTGAGGGCAAAAATAAAAAGTTATAAGACTTTTAAATATGTGGATTTTAGGGTTATCTTTGGCGCCCCCTAGAACCTAAACCGTGGGGTGCAGCGTCATGATTTGAATAACTTTTAATGGCCATGGGGTGTAGATTGGCCTGAGCAAATGTGGTGCCGGTGGAACGAAAGCCTTCGGAGGAGTTAGCGAAATTCCAATGTGTGCGGATCGGCAAAAAATGCGAAATAACCCTTTAACCGTACATTTGACAGATACGCCTGCACTGACTTTTTTGTAGATCTTATTGAGATACATGTGTGTGTCAATTTTTGTGTCATTTTGACAAAGCGTACAGGCGTGACAGTCAATAGTGTGAATTTTCACCTTAGGGGGCGCTATGGAGCCATTTTGCATTTTCTTGTTTGGGCAACTTCGGAATATCAAATTTTTCACCAGGCCCGGTCGTCCTGCCAAATTTCATGAGTTTTCGCCAGTGGGAAGTGGGCCATTTTCCAGTTCAAAGGGGAGGAAAAATAATAATAATAATAACAAACTAGGACCCCGTTGGGGCACTGGCGGGCCCGAGCCGTGTCGCGTCCCCCCCCCAACGTGCTGCCTCCCCGTCCCATTTGTGTCCTCTGGCCATCGCCCTCTCTGGTAACGCCCATCACTGCAAAGACCCTTTTCCTTCATCGGCGTTTGCTGTTCTTCCTGCCAGTGCGTGTTGCTTTCACTTACACTTGCCACAGCCAGCCTCGTGAGTGCCTAGCCTATTGGATATCACTGTCACCTACACAGGACAGTCATTACCTTTCTATTAATACTTTGTGTTTTAATTTCACATTAATTTCCATATTGTATAAACGACTGGAAAAAACTTGAGCCCCTGCCCCTGTATAATCATGTGCATGTCTCTGTTCTAGCTCCAAGGTGAATCTTCACTGCTCATGTTCTCCTCAGAAGCACTCCCCTCACTCCCCTCAGGTTACTGTACACATGCACCAACTGCCTGCTTCAGGTTTGGATGGAGCTTCATGGTTGTCTTTTGGAGAAATGACCAGTCAAGTTGTGTTTGAAATTTGATTTTTTTCAGGGGCAAAAGGAGCCTCTGCATTCTTGTCAAATATGTAAATAGCATGTTTTTGCAGGTGCTAAAAAACAGACTCTGAGTGTGTGTGTGTGTGTGTGTGCGTGTGTGTGTGTCTGTGTGTGTGTGTGTGTGCGTTCAAGTCACATGACATATTTAACCGGATGTAGCTGCAAGACGGAGCCTCGTTGACTCTCCGTTTCAACTTATCTCAAAAGTGAGGACCTCAACCTATATACCAGTTTTTAAATTGTGTTGATAGGCCAAATAAAACCAGAGTTATGATAAATTATGTCCGCGATACTTGTTTTCTGCTTATTTTGATCACGTTCGGTGCTCGATCGCGCTGTATGAGACAGGAAAACATAGCATGCAGACATTAGCGACAGGTCTTACAGGTGGAAAAGGCTTGCCAAAAGAAAAAAAAAACACACCACAACATCTCTCCTATTGGTGGAAAACTTCACCACAACAACCAATCCAAAATTATATGGTGACTGATTGACAAGGGGCGGGCGCTTACGTTCTTCCTGCAACATGAGAAGGGAGGGAGGGACTCTCAGCAGGGATGCAGTCTGGGACACGTAGTTGCAAACCTAGCGACTTTGTTGTTAGATTCAATGACTTTTCAGACCCCCTAACGACTTTTTTTTAGAAAGAAAGGGACTTTTATCGACTTCTTCTGGAGTTTAGAGACTCTGACATGAAGCAGGCTTTCCTTACTGAGGAGTTAGCAACGCTGCTAAGGGTGCAGAGCCACACATGCGCTCCGAGCTCTGCATGGGAGACTGAAGCTGACAGAGCTGCAGCAGTTAGCAGGTTTCACCCTCAGAGACCACCAGGGGTTCATGTTGAGGCATTTTAATTTTTTTTTTTTTTGTGCCATAGACACTGTCAGCACAATCTGCAGTTACACTAACAAAAAAGCTGCAAAAAACAAAGAATTATGGAAAAATTACACATGGACTGACATAGAGGAGGATCTACACAAGTTTTTTACATCATGTTTTACATCATGCATCATTTACATCATGTTTTTTTGTAGTGGCATAAATAAAAAGTGACATTTGTGAGACTATACAGTGTTTTGTAAATAATTTTACAAAGAACGCCTGGGCCATTGCCTGCATTTTGATGTAAATAGAGGTAAATCACTATGTTCTTTGTTAAAAATTTGCATATGTTTTGAAGTTTACAATTTTTATTTGAAGTTTAAGTTTTAAAAACAGTTCATCACACATATTTGTGGTTTTCACAGTAAAAATGTTACTTTTTTCCACTCGGATTTTATGTTTTGTGTGTGAATTTGGGTCCATTGTGTAAATTCAGTATGTCAACATGATAAAATAACTGTAAATTCGCACAGGTGAGGTTGTGCTGAAAAAAATGATACCAGGCAAGGCACGTGATTGTCAAATTTTGTGTCAATATGACAAAGCGTATAGGCGTGAATCTCAACAATATGTATTTTCACCTTAGGGGACAAGAAAAAATGGACTTTTTTCTCCTGCCATGGGGGGGCGCTCTTTTGGGGAGTAAAAATTCCTTCACAAATGTGTTGATGGCTGGACATTGCATCATCCTAGAAAACTTGGAGGCCAGTGAGGACAAAAATAAAAAGTTATAAGACTTTTAAATATGTGGATTTTAGGGTTGTCTTTGGCGACCCCTAGAACCTAAACCGTGGGGTGCAGCATCATGATTTGAATAACTTTTAATGGCCATGGGGTGTAGATTGGCCTGAGCAAATGTGGTGCCGGTGGAACGAAAGCCTTAGGAGGAGTTAGCCACATTCCAATGTGTGCGGATCGGCAAAAAATGCGGAATAACCCTTTAACCGTACATTTGACAGATACGCGCGCATTGACTTTTTCGTAGATCTTATTGAGATACACGTGATTGTCAAATTTTGTGTCAATATGACAAAGCGTACAGGTATGACAGTCAACAATGTGTATTTTCACCTTATGGGACAAGAAAAAATGGACTTTTTTCTCCTGCCATGGGGGGGCGTTCTTTTGGGGAGTAAAAATTCCTTCACAATTGTGTTGATGGCTGGACATTGCATCATCCTAGAAAACTTGAAGGCCAGTGAGGACAAAAATAAAAAGTTATAAGACTTTATAAATATGTGGATTTTAGGGTTATCTTTGGCGCCCCCTAGAACCTTAACCGTGGGGTGCAGCGTCATGATTTTAATAACTTTTAATGGCCACGGGGTGTAGATTGGCCAGAGCAAATGTGGTGCTAGTGGAACAAAAGCCTTAGGAGGAGTTAGCCACATTCCAATGTGTGCGGATCGGCAAAAAATGCAGAATAACCCTTTAACCGTACATTTTACAGATACGTGGCCATTGACTTTTTCGAAGATCTTATTGAAATACACGTGTATGTCAAATTTTGTGTCATTTTGACAAAGCGTACAGGCGTGACACTCTACAATGTGTATTTTCACCTTAGGGGACAAGAAAAAATGGACTTTTTTCTCCTGCCATGGGGGGGCGCTCTTTTGGGGAGTAAAAATGCCTTCACAAATGTGTTGATGGCTGGACATTGCATTATCCTAGAAAACTTGGAGGCCAGTGAGGGCAAAAATAAAAAGTTATAAGACTTTTAAATATGTGGATTTTAGGGTTATCTTTGGCGCCCCCTAGAACCTAAACCGTGGGGTGCAGCGTCATGATTTGAATAACTTTTAATGGCCATGGGGTGTAGATTGGCCTGAGCAAATGTGGTGCCGGTGGAACGAAAGCCTTCGGAGGAGTTAGCGAAATTCCAATGTGTGCGGATCGGCAAAAAATGCGCAATAACCCTTTAACCGTACATTTGACAGATACGCCCGCACTGACTTTTTTGTAGATCTTATTGAGATACATATGTGTGTCAATTTTTGTGTCAATATGACAAAGCGTACAGGCGTGACAGTCAATAGTGTGAATTTCCACCTTAGGGGGCGCTATGGAGCCATTTTGCATTTTATTGTTTGGGCGACTTCAGAATATCGAATTTTTCACCAGGCCCGGTCGTCCTGCCAAATTTCATGAGTTTTCGCCAGTGGGAAGTGGGCCATTTTCCAGTTCAAAGGGGAGGAAAAAGAAGAAAGAAAGAAACAAAGAAAAACCACTTGGGGAATAATAGGGCTCTCGCAGCTGCTTAGCAGCTACGCTCGGGCCCTAAAGAAGGAAACATGCAGGAACAAGAGGGCTCTCGCAGCTGCTTAGCAGCTACGCTCGGGCCCTAACTAGGGCCCCGTTGGGGCACTGGCGGGCCAGAGCCGCGTCGCGCCGCCCCCAGCGCGACCGCCTCCCCGTCCCATTCGTGCCCTCTGGCCATCGCCCTCTCTGGTGACGCCCATCACTGCAAAGACCCTTTTCCTTCATCGGTGTTTGCTGTTCTTCCTGCCATTGCGTGTTGCTTTCACTTACACTTGCCACAGCCAGCCTCGTGAGTGCCTGGCCTGGTTTGACCTTTGCTCACCATGATTGTGTGACCTTGGTATCAGCTACTTGGGAAGTTCAACCGTTGTGGCAAAGCTTTGTTTGCGGCCGGATGTAGCTGCAAGACGGAGCCTCGTTGACATTCCGTTTCAACTTATCTCCAAAGTGAGGACCTTAAACTATATACCAGTTTTTAAATTGTGTTGATAGGCCAAATAAAACCAGAGTTATGATAAATTATGTCTGCGATACTTTTTTTCTGCTTATTTTGATCACGTTCGGCGCTCGATCGCGCTGTATGAGACAGGAAAACATAGCATGCAGACATTAGCGACAGCTCTTACAGGCGGAAAAGGCTTGCCAAAAGAAAAAAAAAAACACACCACAACATCTCCTATTGGTGTAAAACTTCACCACAACAACCAATCCAAAATTATATGGTGACTGATTGACAAGGGGCGGGCGCTTACGTTCTTCCTGCAACATGAGAAGGGATGGAGGGACTCTCAGCAGGGATGCAGTCTGGGACACGTAGTTGCAAACCTAGCGACTTTGTTGTTAGATTAAATGACTTTTCAGACCCCCTAACGACTTTTTTTTGAAAGAAAGGGACTTTTATCGACTTCTTCTGGAGTTCTGGAGTTTAGAGACTCTGACATGAAGCAGGCTTTCCTTACTGAGGAGTTAGCAACGCTGCTAAGGGTGCAGAGCCACACATGCGCTCTGAGCTCTGCAGGTGAGACTGAAGCTGACAGAGCTGCAGCAGTTAGCAGGTTTCACCCTCAGAGACCACCAGGGGTTCATGTTGAGGCATTTTCAGTTTGTTTTATTGTTTTTGTGCCATAGACACTGTCAGCACAATCTGCAGTTACACTAACAAAAATGCTGGACAAAACAAAGAATTATGGAAAAATTACACATGGACTAACATAGAGGAGGATCTACACAAGTTTTTTACATCATGTTTTACATCATGCATCATTTACATCATGTTTTTTTTGTAGTGGCATGAATAAAAAGTGACATTTGTGAGACTATACAGTGTTTTGTAAATAATTTTACAAAGAACGCCTGGGCCATTGCCTGCATTTTGATGTAAATAGAGGTAAATTACTATGTTCTTTGTTAAAAATTTGCATATGTTTTGAAGTTTAAAATTTTTATTTGATGTTTAAGTTTTAAAAACAGTTCATCACACATATTTGTGGTTTTCAGAGTAAAAATGTTACTTTTTTCCACTCGGATATTATGTTTTGTGTGTGAATTTGGGTCCATTGTGTAAAAACAGTATGTGAAAATGATAAAATAACTGTAAAGTCACACAGGTGAGGTTGTGCTGAAAAAAATGATACCAGGCAAGGCAAGGTAAAAAAATTTTAAGAGGAAATATAAAGGGTAAAATCTAAAGTAGTCAAAAACGGCCAATAGTGACTCCCAGTCTCCATAGACAAGTCCCTTTGGCGCCACTCAGTGGGCAAAACTACTTTGTCTGCTGTAATGTATATTTGGGTCATCTTTGGCGCCCCCTAGAACGTAAACCGTGGGGTGCAGCGTCATGATTTTTACAACTTTGAATGGCCATGGGGTGTAGATTGGCCTGAGCAAATTTGGTGTCAGTGGGACGAAAGCCTTAGGAGGAGTTAGCCACATTCCAATGTGTGCGAATCGGCAAAAAATGCAAAATAGCCCTTTTACCGTACATTATACACATACGCGCTCTTTGACTTTTTCATAGATGTTATTGAGATACACGTGATTGTCAAATTTTGTGTCAATCTGACAAAGCGTTCAGGCATGACACTCAACAATGTGTGTTTTCACCTTAGGGGACAAGAAAAAATGGACTTTTTTCTCCTGCCATGGGGGGGCGCTCTTTTGGGGAGTAAAAATTCCTTCACAAATGTGTTGATGGCTGGACATTGCATCATCCTAGAAAACTTGGAGGCCAGTGAGGACAAAAATAAAAAGTTATAAGACTTTTAAGAATGTGGATTTTTGGGTTATCTTTGGCGCCCCCTAGAACCTAAACCGTGGGGTGCAGCGTCATGATTTGTACAACTTTTAATGGCTATGGGGTGTAGATTGACCTGAGCAAATTTGGTGCCGGTGGAACGAAAGCCTTCGGAGGAGTTAGCGAAATTCCAGTGTGTGCGGATCGGCAAAAAATGCGAACTAGGGCCCCGGTGGGGCACTGTCGGGCCCGAGCCGCATCGCGCCGCCCCCAGCGCGACCGCCTCCCCCTCCCGATCGCGTCACACTCAAGGTCCGAAGATGGTGTGCGCACTTGTCTGTGGTCATTTCCCATTATAATGAATGGGAGGCGCAGTTTCTACCAAAACGGTGGCTGCAGACAAACTACATGTCCTATTTGAAAAAAGTCTGGACCATGAGTGAGGGCTCAAACACAGCTAGGATATATCCAAATGGCAAGTTGCTCCTCCTTACGGTGTTGCCGGAAGAGCGATGCGATTGAGCCATTGAGCGATGGGCAGGGTTAACTTGACTTTTTCTCCTGCCTTGGGGGGGGGGGGGGGGATGTGGATTCTTTTAAGAATGTGGATATTTGGGTCATCTTTGGCGCCCCCTAGAACCTAAACCGTGGGGTGCAGCGTCATGATTTGTACAACTTTTAATGGCCATGGGGTGTAGATTGGCCTGAGCAAATGTGGTGCCGGTGGAACGAATGCCTTCGGAGGAGTTAGCAAAATTCCAATGTGTGCAGATCTGCAAAAAATGCGAAATAACCCTCTAACCGTACATTTCACAGATGCGCCCGCGCTGACTTTTTTGTAGACCGTATTGAGATACACGTGTGTGTCAATTTTTGTGTCATTTTGACAAAGCGTATAGGCGTGACAGTCAACAATGTGTTTTTTCACCTTAGGGGACAAGAAAAAATGGACTTTTTTCTCCTGCCATGGGGGGGCGCTCTTTTCGGGAGTAAAAATTCCTTTACAAATGTGTTGATGGCTGGACATTGCATCATCCTAGAAAACTTGGAGGCCAGTGAGGACAAAAATAAAAAGTTATAAGACTATTAAGAATGTGGATTTTTGGGTTATCTTTGGCGCCCCCTAGAACCTAAACCGTGGAGTGCAGCGTCATGATTTGTACAACTTTTAATGGCCATGGGGGTTAGATTGGCCTGAGCAAATTTGGTGCCGGTGGAACGAAAGCCTTCGGAGGAGTTAGCGAAATTCCAATGTGTGCGGATCGGCAAAAAATGCGAAATAGCCCTTTAAACGTACATTTGACAGATACGCCCGCACTGACTTTTTTGTAGATCTTATTGAGATACACGTGTGTGTCAAATTTTGTGTCACTATGACAAAGCGTACAGGCGTGACAGTCAATAGTGTGAATTTTCGCCTTAGGGGGCGCTATGGAGCCATTTTGCATTTTATTGTTTGGGCGACTTCAGAATATCGAATTTTTCACCAGGCCCGGTCGTCCTGCCAAATTTCATGAGTTTTCGCCAGTGGGAAGTGGGCCATTTTCCCCTTCAAAGGGGAGGAAAAATAAGAAGAAAGAAAGAAAGAACTAGGACCCCGTTGGGGCACTGGCGGGCCCAAGCTGTGTCACGTCCCCCCCCAACGCGCTGCCTCCCCGTCCCATTTGTGTCCTCTGGCCATCGCCCTCTTTGGTAACGCCCATCACTGCAAAGACCCTTTTCCTTCATCGGCGTTTGCTGTTCTTCCTGCCAGTGCGTGTTGCTTTCACTTACACTTGCCACAGCCAGCCTCGTGAGTGCCTAGCCTATTGGATATCACTGTCACCTACACAGGACAGTCATTACCTTTCTATTAATACTTTGCGTTTTAATTTCACATTAATTTCCAAATTGTATAAACGACTGGAAAAAACTTGAGCCCCTGCCCCTGTATAATCATGTGCACGTCTCTGTTCTAGCTCTAAGGTAAATCTTCACTGCTCATGTTCTCCTCAGAAGCAGTCACCTCACTCCCCTCAGGTTACTGTACACATGCACCAACTGCCTGCTTCAGGTTTGGATGGAGCTTCATGGTTGTCTTTTGGAGAAATGACCAGTCAAGTTGTGTTTGAAATTTGATTTTTTTCAGGGGCAAAAGGAGCCTCTGCATTCTTGTCAAATATGTAAATAGCATGTTTTTGCAGGTGCTACAAACCAGACTCTGAGTGTGTGTGTGTGCGTGTGTGTGTGTGTCTGTGTGTGTGTGTGTGTGTGTGTGTGCGCGTTCAAGTCACATGACATATTTAACCGGATGTAGCTGCAAGACGGAGCCTCGTTGACTCTCCGTTTCAATTTATCTCAAAAGTGAGGACCTCAACCTATATACCAGTTTTTAAATTGTGTTGATAGGCCAAATAAAACCAGAGTTATGATAAATTATGTCCGCGATACTTGTTTTCTGCTTATTTTGATCACGTTCGGCGCTCGATCGCGCTGTATGAGACAGGAAAACATAGCATGCAGACATTAGCGACAGGTCTTACAGGCGGAAAAGGCTTGCCAAAGGAAAAAAAATACACACCACAACATCTCTCCTATTGGTGGAAAACTTCACCACAACAACCAATCCAAAATTATATGGTGACTGATTGACAAGGGGCGGGCGCTTACGTTCTTCCTGCAATATGAGAAGGGAGGGAGGGACTCTCAGCAGGGATGCAGTCTGGGACACGTAGTTGCAAACCTAGCGACTTTGTTGTAGATTCAATGACTTTTCAGACCCCCTAACGACTTTTTTTTTAGAAAGAAAGGGACTTTTATCAACTTCTTCTGGAGTTTAGAAACTCTGACATGAAGCAGGCTTTCCTTACTGAGGAGTTAGCAACGCTGCTAAGGGTGCAGAGACACACATGAGCTCCGAGCTCTGCATGGGAGACTGAAGCTGACAGAGCTGCAGCAGTTAGCAGGTTTCACCCTCAGAGACCACCAGGGGTTCATGTTGAGGCATTTTCAGTTTTTTTTTTTTTTTTTGCCATAGACACTGTCAGCACAATCTGCAGTTACACTAACAAAAAAGCTGCAAAAAACAAAGAATTATGGAAAAATTACACATGGACTGACATAGAGGAGGATCTACACAAGTTTTTTACATCATGTTTTACATCATGCATCATTTACATCATGTTTTTTTGTAGTGGCATAAATAAAAAGTGACATTTGTGAGACTATACAGTGTTTTGTAAATAATTTTACAAAGAACGCCTGGGCCATTGCCTGCATTTTGATGTAAATAGAGGTAAATTACTATGTTCTTTGTTAAAAATTTGCATATGTTTTGAAGTTTACAATTTTTATTTGAAGTTTAAGTTTTAAAAACAGTTCATCACACATATTTGTGGTTTTCACAGTAAAAATGTTACTTTTTTCCACTCGGATTTTATGTTTTGTGTGTGAATTTGGGTCCATTGTGTAAATACAGTATGTCAAAATGATAAAATAACTGTAAATTCACACAGGTGAGGTTGTGCTGAAAAAAATGATACCAGGCAAGGCAAGGTAAAAAAATTTTAAGAGGAAATATAAAGGTAAAATCTAAAGTAGTCAAAAACGGCCAATAGTGACTCACAGACTCCACAGACAAGTCCCTTTGGCGCCACTCAGTGGGCAAAACTACTTTGTCTGCTGTAATGTATATTTGGGTCATCTTTGGCGCCCCCTAAAACGTAAACCGTGGGGTGCAGCGTCATGATTTTTACAACTTTGAATGGCCATGGAGTGTAGATTGGCCTGAGCAAATTTGGTGTCAGTGGGACGAAAGCCTTAGGAGGAGTTAGCGAAATTCCAATGTGTGCGAATCGGCAAAAAATGCAAAATAGCCCTTTTACCGTACATTATACAGATACGCGCTCTTTGACTTTTTCGTAGATCTAATTGAGATACACATGATTGTCAATTTTTGTGTCATTTTGCCAAAGCGTACAGGCGTGACAGTCAACAATGTGTATTTTCACCTTAGGGGACAAGAAAAAATGGACTTTTTTCTCCTGCCATGGGGGGGCGCTCTTTTAGGGAGTAAAAATTCCTTCACAAATGTGTTGATGGCTGGACATTGCATCATCCTAGAAAACTTGGAGGCCAGTGAGGACAAAAATAAAAAGTTATAAGACTTTTAAAAATGTGGATTTTTGGGTTATATTTGGCGCCCCCTAGAACGTAAACCGTGGGGTGCAGCGTCATGATTTGAATAACTTTTAATGGCCATGGGGTGTAGATTGGCCTGAGCAAATGTGGTGCCGGTGGAACGAAAGCCTTCGGAGGAGTTAGCGAAATTCCAATGTGTGCGGATCGGCAAAAAATGCGAAATAACCCTTTAACCGTACATTAGACAGATACGCGCGCATGGACTTTTTTGTAGATCTTATTGAGATACATGTGTGTGTCAATTTTTGTGTCATTTTGACAAAGCGTACAGGCGTGACAGTCAATAGTGTGAATTTTCACCTTAGGGGACAAGAAAAAATGGACTTTTTTCTCCTGCCATGGGGGGGCGCTCTTTTGGGGAGTAAAAATTCCTTCACAAATGTGTTGATGGCTGGACATTGCATCATCCTAGAAAACTTGGAGGCCAGTGAGGGCAAAAATAAAAAGTTATAAGACTTTTAAATATGTGGATTTTAGGGTTATCTTTGGCGCCCCCTAGAACCTAAACCGTGGGGTGCAGCGTCATGATTTGAATAACTTTTAATGGCCATGGGGTGTAGATTGGCCTGAGCAAATGTGGTGCCGGTGGAACGAAAGCCTTCGGAGGAGTTAGCGAAATTCCAATGTGTGCGGATCGGCAAAAAATGCGAAATAACCCTTTAACCGTACATTTGACAGATACGCCTGCACTGACTTTTTTGTAGATCTTATTGAGATACATGTGTGTGTCAATTTTTGTGTCATTTTGACAAAGCGTACAGGCGTGACAGTCAATAGTGTGAATTTTCACCTTAGGGGGCGCTATGGAGCCATTTTGCATTTTCTTGTTTGGGCAACTTCGGAATATCAAATTTTTCACCAGGCCCGGTCGTCCTGCCAAATTTCATGAGTTTTCGCCAGTGGGAAGTGGGCCATTTTCCAGTTCAAAGGGGAGGAAAAATAATAACTAGGACCCCGTTGGGGCACTGGCGGGCCCGAGCCGTGTCGCGTCCCCCCCCCCACGTGCTGCCTCCCCGTCCCATTTGTGTCCTCTGGCCATCGCCCTCTCTGGTAACGCCCATCACTGCAAAGACCCTTTTCCTTCATCGGCGTTTGCTGTTCTTCCTGCCAGTGCGTGTTGCTTTCACTTACACTTGCCACAGCCAGCCTCGTGAGTGCCTAGCCTATTGGATATCACTGTCACCTACACAGGACAGTCATTACCTTTCTATTAATACTTTGTGATTTAATTTCACATTAATTTCCATATTGTATAAACGACTGGAAAAAACTTGAGCCCCTGCCCCTGTATAATCATGTGCATGTCTCTGTTCTAGCTCCAAGGTGAATCTTCACTGCTCATGTTCTCCTCAGAAGCAGTCACCTCACTCCCCTCAGGTTACTGTACACATGCACCAACTGCCTGCTTCAGGTTTGGATGGAGCTTCATGGTTGTCTTTTGGAGAAATGAACAGTCAAGTTGTGTTTGAAATTTGATTTTTTTCAGGGGCAAAAGGAGCCTCTGCATTCTTGTCAAATATGTAAATAGCATGTTTTTGCAGGTGCTAAAAACCAGACTCTGAGTGTGTGTGTGTGTGTGTGTGTGTGCGTGTGTGTGTGTCTGTGTGTGCGTTCAAGTCACATGACATATTTAACCGGATGTAGCTGCAAGACGGAGCCTCGTTGACTCTCCGTTTCAACTTATCTCAAAAGTGAGGACCTCAACCTATATACCAGTTTTTAAATTGTGTTGATAGGCCAAATAAAACCAGAGTTATGATAAATTATGTCCGCGATACTTTTTTTCTGCTTATTTTGATCACGTTCGGCGCTCGATCGCGCTGTATGAGACAGGAAAACATAGCATGCAGACATTAGCGACAGGTCTTACAGGCGGAAAAGGCTTGCCAAAAGAAAAAAAAAACACACCACAACATCTCTCCTATTGGTGGAAAACTTCACCACAACAACCAATCCAAAATTATATGGTGACTGATTGACAAGGGGCGGGCGCTTACGTTCTTCCTGCAACATGAGAAGGGAGGGAGGGACTCTCAGCAGGGATGCAGTCTGGGACACGTAGTTGCAAACCTAGCGACTTTGTTGTTAGATTCAATGACTTTTCAGACCCCCTAACGACTTTTTTTTAGGAAGAAAGGGACTTTTATCCACTTCTTCTGGAGTTTAGAGACTCTGACATGAAGCAGGCTTTCCTTACTGAGGAGTTAGCAACGCTGCTAAGGGTGCAGAGCCACACATGCGCTCAGAGCTCTGCATGGGAGACTGAAGCTGACAGAGCTGCAGCAGTTAGCAGGTTTCACCCTCAGAGACCACCAGGGGTTCACGTTGAGGCATTTTAAATTTTTTTTTTTTTTTGTGCCATAGACACTGTCAGCACAATCTGCAGTTACACTAACAAAAATGCTGCAAAAAACAAAGAATTATGGAAAAATTACACATGGACTGACATAGAGGAGGATCTACACAAGTATTTTACATCATGTTTTACATCATGCATCATTTACATCATGTTTTTTTGTAGTGGCATAAATAAAAAGTGACATTTGTGAGACTATACAGTGTTTTGTAAATAATTTTACAAAGAACGCCTGGGCCATTGCCTGCATTTTGATGTAAATAGAGGTAAATCACTGTTCTTTGTTAAAAATTTGCATATGTTTTGAAGTTTACAATTTTTATTTGAAGTTTAAGTTTTAAAAACAGTTCATCACACATATTTGTGGTTTTCACAGTAAAAATGTTACTTTTTTCCACTCGGATTTTATGTTTTGTGTGTGAATTTGGGTCCATTGTGTAAATTCAGTATGTCAACATGATAAAATAACTGTAAATTCGCACAGGTGAGGTTGTGCTGAAAAAAATGATACCAGGCAAGGCACGTGATTGTCAAATTTTGTGTCAATATGACAAAGCGTATAGGCGTGAATCTCAACAATATGTATTTTCACCTTAGGGGACAAGAAAAAATGGACTTTTTTCTCCTGCCATGGGGGGGCGCTCTTTTGGGGAGTAAAAATTCCTTCACAAATGTGTTGATGGCTGGACATTGCATCATCCTAGAAAACTTGGAGGCCAGTGAGGACAAAAATAAAAAGTTATAAGACTTTTAAATATGTGGATTTTAGGGTTATCTTTGGCGCCCCCTAGAACCTAAACCGTGGGGTGCAGCGTCATGATTTGAATAACTTTTAATGGCCATGGGGTGTAGATTGGCCTGAGCAAATGTGGTGCCGGTGGAACGAAAGCCTTAGGAGGAGTTAGCCACATTCCAATGTGTGCGGATCGGCAAAAAATGCGGAATAACCCTTTAACCGTACATTTGACAGATACGCGCGCATTGACTTTTTTGTAGATCTTATTGAGATACATGTGTGTGTCAATTTTTGTGTCATTTTGACAAAGCGTATAGGCGTGACACTCAACAATGTGTATTTTCACCTTAGGGGACAAGAAAAAATGGACTTTTTTCTCCTGCCATGGGGGGGCGCTCTTTTAGGGAGTAAAAATTCCTTCACAAATGTGTTGATGGCTGGACATTGCATCATCCTAGAAAACTTGGAGGCCAGTGAGGACAAAAATAAAAAGTTATAAGACTTTTAAATATGTGGATTTTAGTGTTATCTTTGGCGCCCCATAGAACGTAAACCGTGGGGTGCAGCGTCATGATTTTGATAACTTTTAATGGCCACGGGGTGTAGATTGGCCTGAGCAAATGTGGTGCCGGTGGAACGAAAGTCTTCGGAGGAGTTAGCGAAATTCCAATGTGTGCGGATCGGCAAAAAATGCGAAATAACCCTTTAACCGTAATTTTGACAGATACGGCCGCACTGACTTTTTTGTAGATCTTATTGAGATACATATGTGTGTCAATTTTTGTGTCAATATGACAAAGCGTACAGGCGTGACAGTCAATAGTGTGAATTTCCACCTTAGGGGGCGCTATGGAGCCATTTTGCATTTTATTGTTTGGGCGACTTCAGAATATCGAATTTTTCACCAGGCCCGGTCGTCCTGCCAAATTTCATGAGTTTTCGCCAGTGGGAAGTGGGCCATTTTCCAGTTCAAAGGGGAGGAAAAAGAAAAAAGAAAGAAAGAAACAAAGAAAAACCACTTGGGGAATAATAGGGCCTACGCCCGGCTGCTCTGCAGCTGGCTCGGGCCCTAATAATAATAACAAAAGAAGGAAACATGCAGGAACAAGAGGGCTCTCGCAGCTGCTTAGCAGCTACGCTCGGGCCCTAACTAGGGCCCCGTTGGGGCACTGGCGGGCCAGAGCCGCGTCGCGCCGCCCCCAGCGCGACCGCCTCCCCGTCCCATTCGTGCCCTCTGGCCATCGCCCTCTCTGGTGACGCCCATCACTGCAAAGACCCTTTTCCTTCATCGGTGTTTGCTGTTCTTCCTGCCATTGCGTGTTGCTTTCACTTACACTTGCCACAGCCAGCCTCGTGAGTGCCTGGCCTGGTTTGACCTTTGCTCACCATGATTGTGTGACCTTGGTATCAGCTACTTGGGAAGTTCAACCGTTGTGGCAAAGCTTTGTTTGCGGCCGGATGTAGCTGCAAGACGGAGCCTCGTTGACATTCCGTTTCAACTTATCTCCAAAGTGAGGACCTTAAACTATATACCAGTTTTTAAATTGTGTTGATAGGCCAAATAAAACCAGAGTTATGATAAATTATGTCTGCGATACTTTTTTTCTGCTTATTTTGATCACGTTCGGCGCTCGATCGCGCTGTATGAGACAGGAAAACATAGCATGCAGACATTAGCGACAGCTCTTACAGGCGGAAAAGGCTTGCCAAAAGAAAAAAAAAAACACACCACAACATCTCCTATTGGTGTAAAACTTCACCACAACAACCAATCCAAAATTATATGGTGACTGATTGACAAGGGGCGGGCGCTTACGTTCTTCCTGCAACATGAGAAGGGATGGAGGGACTCTCAGCAGGGATGCAGTCTGGGACACGTAGTTGCAAACCTAGCGACTTTGTTGTTAGATTAAATGACTTTTCAGACCCCCTAACGACTTTTTTTTTGAAAGAAAGGGACTTTTATCGACTTCTTCTGGAGTTCTGGAGTTTAGAGACTCTGACATGAAGCAGGCTTTCCTTACTGAGGAGTTAGCAACGCTGCTAAGGGTGCAGAGCCACACATGCGCTCTGAGCTCTGCAGGTGAGACTGAAGCTGACAGAGCTGCAGCAGTTAGCAGGTTTCACCCTCAGAGACCACCAGGGGTTCATGTTGAGGCATTTTCAGTTTGTTTTATTGTTTTTGTGCCATAGACACTGTCAGCACAATCTGCAGTTACACTAACAAAAATGCTGGACAAAACAAAGAATTATGGAAAAATTACACATGGACTAACATAGAGGAGGATCTACACAAGTTTTTTACATCATGTTTTACATCATGCATCATTTACATCATGTTTTTTTTGTAGTGGCATGAATAAAAAGTGACATTTGTGAGACTATACAGTGTTTTGTAAATAATTTTACAAAGAACGCCTGGGCCATTGCCTGCATTTTGATGTAAATAGAGGTAAATTACTATGTTCTTTGTTAAAAATTTGCATATGTTTTGAAGTTTAAAATTTTTATTTGATGTTTAAGTTTTAAAAACAGTTCATCACACATATTTGTGGTTTTCAGAGTAAAAATGTTACTTTTTTCCACTCGGATATTATGTTTTGTGTGTGAATTTGGGTCCATTGTGTAAAAACAGTATGTGAAAATGATAAAATAACTGTAAAGTCACACAGGTGAGGTTGTGCTGAAAAAAATGATACCAGGCAAGGCAAGGTAAAAAAATTTTAAGAGGAAATATAAAGGGTAAAATCTAAAGTAGTCAAAAACGGCCAATAGTGACTCCCAGTCTCCATAGACAAGTCCCTTTGGCGCCACTCAGTGGGCAAAACTACTTTGTCTGCTGTAATGTATATTTGGGTCATCTTTGGCGCCCCCTAGAACGTAAACCGTGGGGTGCAGCGTCATGATTTTTACAACTTTGAATGGCCATGGGGTGTAGATTGGCCTGAGCAAATTTGGTGTCAGTGGGACGAAAGCCTTAGGAGGAGTTAGCCACATTCCAATGTGTGCGAATCGGCAAAAAATGCAAAATAGCCCTTTTACCGTACATTATACACATACGCGCTCTTTGACTTTTTCATAGATGTTATTGAGATACACGTGATTGTCAAATTTTGTGTCAATCTGACAAAGCGTTCAGGCATGACACTCAACAATGTGTGTTTTCACCTTAGGGGACAAGAAAAAATGGACTTTTTTCTCCTGCCATGGGGGGGCGCTCTTTTGGGGAGTAAAAATTCCTTCACAAATGTGTTGATGGCTGGACATTGCATCATCCTAGAAAACTTGGAGGCCAGTGAGGACAAAAATAAAAAGTTATAAGACTTTTAAGAATGTGGATTTTTGGGTTATCTTTGGCGCCCCCTAGAACCTAAACCGTGGGGTGCAGCGTCATGATTTGTACAACTTTTAATGGCCATGGGGTGTAGATTGACCTGAGCAAATTTGGTGCCGGTGGAACGAAAGCCTTCGGAGGAGTTAGCGAAATTCCAGTGTGTGCGGATCGGCAAAAAATGCGAACTAGGGCCCCGGTGGGGCACTGTCGGGCCCGAGCCGCATCGCGCCGCCCCCAGCGCGACCGCCTCCCCCTCCCGATCGCGTCACACTCAAGGTCCGAAGATGGTGTGCGCACTTGTCTGTGGTCATTTCCCATTATAATGAATGGGAGGCGCAGTTTCTACCAAAACGGTGGCTGCAGACAAACTACATGTCCTATTTGAAAAAAGTCTGGACCATGAGTGAGGGCTCAAACACAGCTAGGATATATCCAAATGGCAAGTTGCTCCTCCTTACGGTGTTGCCGGAAGAGCGATGCGATTGAGCCATTGAGCGATGGGCAGGGTTAACTTGACTTTTTCTCCTGCCTTGGGGGGGGGGGGGGAATGTGGATTCTTTTAAGAATGTGGATATTTGGGTCATCTTTGGCGCCCCCTAGAACCTAAACCGTGGGGTGCAGCGTCATGATTTGTACAACTTTTAATGGCCATGGGGTGTAGATTGGCCTGAGCAAATGTGGTGCCGGTGGAACGAATGCCTTCGGAGGAGTTAGCAAAATTCCAATGTGTGCAGATCTGCAAAAAATGCGAAATAACCCTCTAACCGTACATTTCACAGATGCGCCCGCGCTGACTTTTTTGTAGACCGTATTGAGATACACGTGTGTGTCAATTTTTGTGTCATTTTGACAAAGCGTATAGGCGTGACAGTCAACAATGTGTTTTTTCACCTTAGGGGACAAGAAAAAATGGACTTTTTTCTCCTGCCATGGGGGGGCGCTCTTTTCGGGAGTAAAAATTCCTTTACAAATGTGTTGATGGCTGGACATTGCATCATCCTAGAAAACTTGGAGGCCAGTGAGGACAAAAATAAAAAGTTATAAGACTATTAAGAATGTGGATTTTTGGGTTATCTTTGGCGCCCCCTAGAACCTAAACCGTGGAGTGCAGCGTCATGATTTGTACAACTTTTAATGGCCATGGGGGTTAGATTGGCCTGAGCAAATTTGGTGCCGGTGGAACGAAAGCCTTCGGAGGAGTTAGCGAAATTCCAATGTGTGCGGATCGGCAAAAAATGCGAAATAGCCCTTTAAACGTACATTTGACAGATACGCCCGCACTGACTTTTTTGTAGATCTTATTGAGATACACGTGTGTGTCAAATTTTGTGTCACTATGACAAAGCGTACAGGCGTGACAGTCAATAGTGTGAATTTTCGCCTTAGGGGGCGCTATGGAGCCATTTTGCATTTTATTGTTTGGGCGACTTCAGAATATCGAATTTTTCACCAGGCCCGGTCGTCCTGCCAAATTTCATGAGTTTTCGCCAGTGGGAAGTGGGCCATTTTCCCCTTCAAAGGGGAGGAAAAATAAGAAGAAAGAAAGAAAGAACTAGGACCCCGTTGGGGCACTGGCGGGCCCAAGCTGTGTCACGTCCCCCCCCCAACGCGCTGCCTCCCCGTCCCATTTGTGTCCTCTGGCCATCGCCCTCTTTGGTAACGCCCATCACTGCAAAGACCCTTTTCCTTCATCGGCGTTTGCTGTTCTTCCTGCCAGTGCGTGTTGCTTTCACTTACACTTGCCACAGCCAGCCTCGTGAGTGCCTAGCCTATTGGATATCACTGTCACCTACACAGGACAGTCATTACCTTTCTATTAATACTTTGCGTTTTAATTTCACATTAATTTCCAAATTGTATAAACGACTGGAAAAAACTTGAGCCCCTGCCCCTGTATAATCATGTGCACGTCTCTGTTCTAGCTCTAAGGTAAATCTTCACTGCTCATGTTCTCCTCAGAAGCAGTCACCTCACTCCCCTCAGGTTACTGTACACATGCACCAACTGCCTGCTTCAGGTTTGGATGGAGCTTCATGGTTGTCTTTTGGAGAAATGACCAGTCAAGTTGTGTTTGAAATTTGATTTTTTTCAGGGGCAAAAGGAGCCTCTGCATTCTTGTCAAATATGTAAATAGCATGTTTTTGCAGGTGCTACAAACCAGACTCTGAGTGTGTGTGTGTGCGTGTGTGTGTGTGTCTGTGTGTGTGTGTGTGTGTGTGTGTGCGCGTTCAAGTCACATGACATATTTAACCGGATGTAGCTGCAAGACGGAGCCTCGTTGACTCTCCGTTTTAATTTATCTCAAAAGTGAGGACCTCAACCTATATACCAGTTTTTAAATTGTGTTGATAGGCCAAATAAAACCAGAGTTATGATAAATTATGTCCGCGATACTTGTTTTCTGCTTATTTTGATCACGTTCGGCGCTCGATCGCGCTGTATGAGACAGGAAAACATAGCATGCAGACATTAGCGACAGGTCTTACAGGCGGAAAAGGCTTGCCAAAGGAAAAAAAATACACACCACAACATCTCTCCTATTGGTGGAAAACTTCACCACAACAACCAATCCAAAATTATATGGTGACTGATTGACAAGGGGCGGGCGCTTACGTTCTTCCTGCAATATGAGAAGGGAGGGAGGGACTCTCAGCAGGGATGCAGTCTGGGACACGTAGTTGCAAACCTAGCGACTTTGTTGTAGATTCAATGACTTTTCAGACCCCCTAACGACTTTTTTTTTAGAAAGAAAGGGACTTTTATCAACTTCTTCTGGAGTTTAGAAACTCTGACATGAAGCAGGCTTTCCTTACTGAGGAGTTAGCAACGCTGCTAAGGGTGCAGAGACACACATGAGCTCCGAGCTCTGCATGGGAGACTGAAGCTGACAGGGCTGCAGCAGTTAGCAGGTTTCACCCTCAGAGACCACCAGGGGTTCATGTTGAGGCATTTTCAGTTTTTTTTTTTTTTTTTTGCCATAGACACTGTCAGCACAATCTGCAGTTACACTAACAAAAAAGCTGCAAAAAACAAAGAATTATGGAAAAATTACACATGGACTGACATAGAGGAGGATCTACACAAGTTTTTTACATCATGTTTTACATCATGCATCATTTACATCATGTTTTTTTGTAGTGGCATAAATAAAAAGTGACATTTGTGAGACTATACAGTGTTTTGTAAATAATTTTACAAAGAACGCCTGGGCCATTGCCTGCATTTTGATGTAAATAGAGGTAAATTACTATGTTCTTTGTTAAAAATTTGCATATGTTTTGAAGTTTACAATTTTTATTTGAAGTTTAAGTTTTAAAAACAGTTCATCACACATATTTGTGGTTTTCACAGTAAAAATGTTACTTTTTTCCACTCGGATTTTATGTTTTGTGTGTGAATTTGGGTCCATTGTGTAAATTCAGTATGTCAACATGATAAAATAACTGTAAATTCGCACAGGTGAGGTTGTGCTGAAAAAAATGATACCAGGCAAGGCAAGGTAAAAAATTTTTAAGAGGAAATATAAAGGTAAAATCTAAAGTAGTCAAAAAAGGCCAATAGTGACTCACAGACTCCACAGACTAGTCCCTTTGGCGCCACTCAGTGGGCAAAACTACTTTGTCTGCTGTAATGTATATTTGGGTCATCTTTGGCGCCCCCTAAAACGTAAACCGTGGGGTGCAGCGTCATGATTTTTACAACTTTGAATGGCCATGGAGTGTAGATTGGCCTGAGCAAATTTGGTGTCAGTGGGACGAAAGCCTTAGGAGGAGTTAGCGAAATTCCAATGTGTGCGAATCGGCAAAAAATGCAAAATAGCCCTTTTACCGTACATTATACAGATACGCGCTCTTTGACTTTTTCGTAGATCTAATTGAGATACACATGATTGTCAATTTTTGTGTCATTTTGCCAAAGCGTACAGGCGTGACAGTCAACAATGTGTATTTTCACCTTAGGGGACAAGAAAAAATGGACTTTTTTCTCCTGCCATGGGGGGCGCTCTTTTAGGGAGTAAAAATTCCTTCACAAATGTGTTGATGGCTGGACATTGCATCATCCTAGAAAACTTGGAGGCCAGTGAGGACAAAAATAAAAAGTTATAAGACTTTTAAAAATGTGGATTTTTGGGTTATATTTGGCGCCCCCTAGAACGTAAACCGTGGGGTGCAGCGTCATGATTTGAATAACTTTTAATGGCCATGGGGTGTAGATTGGCCTGAGCAAATGTGGTGCCGGTGGAACGAAAGCCTTCGGAGGAGTTAGCGAAATTCCAATGTGTGCGGATCGGCAAAAAATGCGAAATAACCCTTTAACCGTACATTAGACAGATACGCGCGCATGGACTTTTTTGTAGATCTTATTGAGATACATGTGTGTGTCAATTTTTGTGTCATTTTGACAAAGCGTACAGGCGTGACAGTCAATAGTGTGAATTTTCACCTTAGGGGACAAGAAAAAATGGACTTTTTTCTCCTGCCATGGGGGGGCGCTCTTTTGGGGAGTAAAAATTCCTTCACAAATGTGTTGATGGCTGGACATTGCATCATCCTAGAAAACTTGGAGGCCAGTGAGGGCAAAAATAAAAAGTTATAAGACTTTTAAATATGTGGATTTTAGGGTTATCTTTGGCGCCCCCTAGAACCTAAACCGTGGGGTGCAGCGTCATGATTTGAATAACTTTTAATGGCCATGGGGTGTAGATTGGCCTGAGCAAATGTGGTGCCGGTGGAACGAAAGCCTTCGGAGGAGTTAGCGAAATTCCAATGTGTGCGGATCGGCAAAAAATGCGAAATAACCCTTTAACCGTACATTTGACAGATACGCCTGCACTGACTTTTTTGTAGATCTTATTGAGATACATGTGTGTGTCAATTTTTGTGTCATTTTGACAAAGCGTACAGGCGTGACAGTCAATAGTGTGAATTTTCACCTTAGGGGGCGCTATGGAGCCATTTTGCATTTTCTTGTTTGGGCAACTTCGGAATATCAAATTTTTCACCAGGCCCGGTCGTCCTGCCAAATTTCATGAGTTTTCGCCAGTGGGAAGTGGGCCATTTTCCAGTTCAAAGGGGAGGAAAAATAATAACTAGGGCCCCGGTGGGGCACTGTCGGGCCCGAGCCGCGTCCGCCTCCCCCTCCCGATCGCGTCACACTCAAGGTCCAAAGATGGTGTGCGCACTTGTCTGTGGTCATTTCCCATTATAATGAATGGGAGGCGCAGTTTCTACAAAAACACTCGCTGCAGACAAACTTCATGTCCTATTTGAAAAAAGTCTGGACCATGAGTGAGGGCACAAACACAGCTATGATATATCGAAATGGCAGGTTGCTCCTCCTTACGGTGTTGCCTGGAGAGCGATGCGATTGAGCCATTGAGCGATGGGCAGGGTTAACTTGACTTTTTCTCCTGCCTTGGGGGGGGATGTGGATTCCTTTAAGAATGTGGATTTTTGGGTCATCTTTGGCGCCCCCTAGAACGTAAACCGTGGGGTGCAGCGTCATGATTTTTACAACTTTGAATGGCCATGGGGTGTAGATTGGCCTGAGCAAATTTGGTGTCAGTGGGACGAAAGCCTTAGGAGGAGTTAGCCACATTCCAATGTGTGCGAATCGGCAAAAAATGCAAAATAGCCCTTTAACCGTACATTTGACAGATACGCGCGCATTGACTTTTTTGTAGATCTTATTGAGATACATATGTGTGTCAATTTTTGTGTCAATATGATAAAGCGTACAGGCGTGACAGTCAATAGTGTGAATTTCCACCTTAGGGGACAAGAAAAAATGGACTTTTTTCTCCTAATTTCATGAGTTTTCGCCAGTGGGAAGTGGGCCATTTTCCAGTTCAAAGGGGAGGAAAAATAACTAGGACCCCGTTGGGGCACTGGCGGGCCCGAGCTGTGTCGCGTCCCCCCCCCAACGCGCTGCCTCCCCGTCCCATTTGTGTCCTCTGGCCATCGCCCTCTCTGGTAACGCCCATCACTGCAAAGACCCTTTTCCTTCATCGGCGTTTGCTGTTCTTCCTGCCAGTGCGTGTTGCTTTCACTTACACTTGCCACAGCCAGCCTCTTGAGTGCCTAGCCTATTGGATATCACTGTCACCTACTCAGGACAGTCATTACCTTTCTATTAATACTTTGTTTTTTAATTTCACATTAATTTCCATATTGTATAAACAACTGGAAAAAACTTGAGCCCCTGCCCCTGTATAATCATGTGCACGTCTCTGTTCTAGCTCTAAGGTGAATCTTCACTGCTCATGTTCTCCTCAGAAGCAGTCACCTCACTCCCCTCAGGTTACTGTACACATGCACCAACTGCCTGCTTCAGGTTTGGATGGAGCTTCATGGTTGTCTTTTGGAGAAATGACCAGTCAAGTTGTGTTTGAAATTTGATTTTTTTCAGGGGCAAAAGGAGCCTCTGCATTCTTGTCAAATATGTAAATAGCATGTTTTTGCAGGTGCTAAAAACCAGACTCTGAGTGTGTGTGTGTGCGTGTGTGTGTGTGTCTGTGTGTGTGTGTGTGTGTGTGTGTGTGTGTGTGCGTTCAAGTCACATGACATATTTAACCGGATGTAGCTGCAAGACGGAGCCTCGTTGACTCCGTTTCAACTTATCTCAAAAGTGAGGACCTCAACCTATATACCAGTTTTTAAATTGTGTTGATAGGCCAAATAAAACCAGAGTTATGATAAATTATGTCCGCGATACTTGTTTTCTGCTTATTTTGATCACGTTCGGCGCTCGATCGCGCTGTATGAGACAGGAAAACATAGCATGCAGACATTAGCGACAGGTCTTACAGGCGGAAAAGGCTTGCCAAAGGAAAAAAAAAAACACACCACAACATCTCTCCTATTGGTGGAAAACTTCACCACAACAACCAATCCAAAATTATATGGTGACTGATTGACAAGGGGCGGGCGCTTACGTTCTTCCTGCAATATGAGAAGGGAGGGAGGGACTCTCAGCAGGGATGCAGTCTGGGACACGTAGTTGCAAACCTAGCGACTTTGTTGTTAGATTCAATGACTTTTCAGACCCCCTAACGACTTTTTTTTTAGAAAGAAAGTGACTTTTATCGACTTCTTCTGGAGTTTAGAGACTCTGACATGAAGCAGGCTTTCCTTACTGAGGAGTTAGCAACGCTGCTAAGGGTGCAGAGCCACACATGCGCTCCGAGCTCTGCATGGGAGACTGAAGCTGACAGAGCTGCAGCAGTTAGCAGGTTTCACCCTCAGAGACCACCAGGGGTTCATGTTGAGGCATTTTCAGTTTTTTTTTTTTTTTTGCCATAGACACTGTCAGCACAATCTGCAGTTACACTAACAAAAATGCTGCAAAAAACAAAGAATTATGGAAAAATTACACATGGACTAACATAGAGGAGGATCTACACAAGTTTTTTACATCATGTTTTACATCATGCATCATTTACATCATGTTTTTTTGTAGTGGCATAAATAAAAAGTGACATTTGTGAGACTATACAGTGTTTTGTAAATAATTTTACAAAGAACACCTGGGCCATTGCCTGCATTTTGATGTAAATAGAGGTAAATTATTATGTTCTTTGTTAAAAATTTGCATATGTTTTGAAGTTTACAATTTTTATTTGAAGTTTAAGTTTTAAAAACAGTTCATCACACATATTTGTGGTTTAATTTCACATTAATTTCCATATTGTATAAATGACTGGAAAAAACTTGAGCCCCTGCCCCTGTATAATCGTGTGCACGTCCCTGTTCTAGCTCCAAGGTGAATCTTCACTGCTCATGTTCTCCTCAGAAATAGTCACCTCACTCCCCTCAGGTTACTGTACACATGCACCAACTATCTGCTTCAGGTTTGAAATGGAGCTTCATGGTTGTCTTTTGGAGAAATGAACAGTCAAGTTGTGTTTGAAATTTGATTTTTTTCAGGGGCAAAAGGAAGCCTCTGCATTCTTGTCAAATATGTAAACAGCATGTTTTTGCAGGTGCTAAAAACCAGACTCTGAGTGTGTGTGTGTGTGTCTGTGTGTGTGTGTGTGTGTGTGTGTGTGTGTGTGTGTATGTTGGCGTGTGTGTATATGTGTGTGTATCCTGCAGTACTCTATACTCCTGCAGTGGCCAAAAAGACTTTTAAGAATGTGGATTTTTGGGTCATCTTTGGCGCCCCCTAGAACTGCAGTACTCTGTACTCCTGCAGTGGCCAAAATGACTTTTAAGAATGTGGATTTTTGGGTCATCTTTGGCGCCCCCTAGAACGTAAACCGTGGGGTGCAGCATCATGATTTTTACAACTTTGAATGGGCATGGGGTGTAGATTGGCCTGAGCAAATTTGGTATCGTTGGGACGAAAGCCTTAGGAGGAGATAGCCACATTCCAATGTGTGCGAATCGGCAAAAAATGCAAAATAGCCCTTTAACCGTACATTATACAGATACGCGCTCTTTGACTTTTTCGTAGATCTAATTGAGATACACATGATTGTCAATTTTTGTGTCAATATGACAAAGCGTTCAGGCGTGACACTCAACAATGTGTATTTTTATGTAAGGGGACAAGAAAAAATTGACTTTTTTCTCCTACCATGGGGGGGCGCTCTTTTGGGGATTAAAAATTCCTTCACAAATGTGTTGATGGCTGGACATTGCATCATCCTAGAAAACTTGGAGGCCAGTGAGGACAAAAATAAAAAGTTATAAAACATTTAAGAATGTGGATTTTTGGGTTATTTTTGGCGCCCCCTAGAACCTAAACCATGGGGTGCAGCATCATGATTTGAATAACTTTTAATGGCCATGGGGTGTAGATTGGCCTGAGCAAATGTGGTGCCGGTGGAACGAAAGCCTTCGGAGGAGTTAGCGAAATTCCAATGTGTGCGTATCGGCAAAAAATGCGGAATAACCCTTTAACTGTACATTTGACAGATACGCGCGCATGGACTTTTTTGTAGATCTTATTGAGTTACATGTGTGTGTCAATTTTTGTGTCATTTTGACAAAGCGTATAGGCGTGACACTCAACAATGTGTATTTTCACCTTAGGGGACAAGAAAAAATGGACTTTTTTCTCCTGCCATGGGGGGGCGCTCTTTTGGGGAGTAAAAATTCCTTCACAAATGTGTTGATGGCTGGACATTGCATCATCCTAGAAAACTTGGAGGCCAGTGAGGACAAAAATAAAAAGTTATAAGACTTTTAAATATGTGGATTTTAGTGTTATCTTTGGCGCCCCCTAGAACCTAAACCTTGGGGTGCAGCGTCATGATTTTGATAACTTTTAATGGCCACGGGGTGTAGATTGGCCTGAGCAAATGTGGTGCCGGTGGAACGAAAGCCTTCGGAGGAGTTAGCGAAATTCCAATGTGTGCGTATCGGCAAAAAATGCGAAATAACCCTTTAACCGTAATTTTGACAGATACGGCCGCGCTGACTTTTTTGTAGATCTTATTGAGATACATATGTGTGTCAATTTTTGTGTCAATATGACAAAGCGTACAGGCGTGACAGTCAATAGTGTGAATTTCCACCTTAGGGGGCGCTATGGAGCCATTTTGCATTTTATTGTTTGGGCGACTTCAGAATATCGAATTTTTCACCAGGCCCGGTCGTCCTGCCAAATTTCATGAGTTTTCGCCAGTGGGAAGTGGGCCATTTTCCAGTTCAAAGGGGAGGAAAAAGAAGAAAGAAAGAAAGAAAGAAAGAAAGAAACAAAGAAAAACCACTTGGGGAATAATAGGGCCTACGCCCGGCTGCTCTGCAGCTGGCTCGGGCCCTAACTAGGGCCCCGGTGGGGCACTGTCGGGCCCGAGCCGCGTTGCGCCGCCCCCAGCGCGACCGCCTCCCCCTCCCGATCGCGTCACACTCAAGGTCCAAAGATGGTGTGCGCACTTGTCTGTGGTCATTTCCCATTATAATGAATGGGAGGCGCAGTTTCTACCAAAACACTCGCTGCAGACAAACTACATGTCCTATTTGAAAAAAGTCTGATCCATGAGTGAGGGCACAAACACAGCTAGGATATATCCAAATGGCAAGTTGCTCCTCCTTTCGGAGGAGTTTGAACACATGACATGTGTTTGAGCCATTGAGCGATGGGCAGGAAAAACTTGACTTTTTCTCCTGCCATGGGGGGGGGGGCGCTGTTTTGGGGAGTAAAAATTCCTTCACAAATGTGTTGATGGCTAGACATTGCATCATCCTAGAAAACTTGGAAGCCAGTGAGGACAAAAATGAAAAGTTATAAGACTTTTAAGAATGTGGATTTTTGGGTTATCTTTGGCGCCCCCTAGAACGTAAACCGTGGGGTGCAGCGTCATGATTTGTACAACTTTTAATGGCCATCGGGTGTAGATTGGCCTGAGCAAATGTGGTGCCGGTGGAACGAAAGCTTTAGGAGGAGTTAGCCACATTCCAATGTGTGCGAATCGATCAAAAATGCGTAATAGCCCTTTAACCGTACATTTTACAGATACGTGCGCATTGACTTTTTCGTAGATCTTATTGAGATACACGTGATTGTCAAATTTTGTTTCAATATGACAAAGCGTACAGGCGTGACACTCAACAATGTGTATTTTCACCTTATGGGACAAGAAAAAATGGACTTTTTTCTCCTGCCATGGGGGGGCGCTCTTTTGGGAAGTAAAAATTCCTTCACAAATGTGTTGATGGCTGGACATTGCATCATCCTAGAAAACTTGGAGGCCAGTGAGGACAAAAATAAAAAGTTATAAGACTTTTAAGACTGTGGATTTTTGGGTTATCTTTGGCGCCCCCTAGAACGTAAACCGTGGGGTGCAGCGTCATGATTTGTACAACTTTTAATGGCCATGGGGTGTAGATTGGCCTGAGCAAATTTGGTGCCAGTGGAACGAAAGCCTTCGGAGGAGTTAGCGAAATTCCAATGTGTGCGGTTCCGCAAAAAATGCGAAATAGCCCTTTAACTGTACATTTGACAGATACGTGCGCATAGACTTTTTTGTAGATCTTATTGAGATACACGTGTGTGTCAAATTTTATGTCAATATGACAAAGCGTATAGGCGTGACACTCAACAATATGTATTTTCACCTTAGGGGACAAGAAAAAATGGACTTTTTTCTCCTGCCATGGTGGGGCGCTCTTTTGGGGAGAAAAAATTCCTTCACAAATGTGTTGATGGCTGGTCATTGCATCATCCTAGAAAACTTGGAGGCCAGTGAGGACAAAAATAAAAAGTTATTAGACTTTTAAGAATGTGGATTTTTGGGTTATCTTTGGCGCCCCCTAGAACGTAAACCGTGAGGTGCAGCGTCATGATTTGTACAACTTTTAATGGCCATGGGTTGTAGATTGGCCTGAGCAAATGTGGTGCCGGTGGAACGAAAGCCTTCGGAGGAGTTAGCGAAATTCCACTGTGTGCGGATCGGCAAAAAATGCGAAATAGCCCTTTAACCGTACATTTGACAGATACGCCCGCGCTGACTTTTTTGTAGATCTTATTGAGATACACGTGTGTGTCAAATTTTGTGTCATTTTGACAAAGCGTACAGGTGTGACACTCAATCATGTGAATTTTTCACCTTAGGGGGCGCTATGGAGCCATTTTGCATTTGATTGTTTGGGCGACTTCAGAATATCGAATTTTTCACCAGGCCCGGTCGTCCTGCCAAATTTCATGAGTTTTCACCAGTGGGAAGTGGGCCATTTTCCAGTTCGAAGGGGCAGAAAAATAATAACTAGGACCCCGTTGGGGCACTGGCGGGCCCGAGCTGTGTCGCGCCCCCCCCCCAACGCGCTGCCTCCCCGTCCCATTTGTGTCCTCTGGCCATCGCCCTCTCTGGTAACGCCCATCACTGCAAAGACCCTTTTCCTTCATCGGCGTTTGCTGTTCTTCCTGCCAGTGCGTGTTGCTTTCACTTACACTTGCCACAGCCAGCCTCGTGAGTGCCTAGCCTATTGGATATCACTGTCACCTACACAGGACAGTCATTACCTTTCTATTAATACTTTGTTTTTTAATTTCACATTAATTTCCATATTGTATAAACAACTGGAAAAAACTTGAGCCCCTGCCCCTGTATAATCATGTGCACGTCTCTGTTCTAGCTCTAAGGTGAATCTTCACTGCTCATGTTCTCCTCAGAAGCAGTCACCTCACTCCCCTCAGGTTACTGTACACATGCACCAACTGCCTGCTTCAGGTTTGGATGGAGCTTCATGGTTGTCTTTTGGAGAAATGACCAGTCAAGTTGTGTTTGAAATTTGATTTTTTTCAGGGGCAAAAGGAGCCTCTGCATTCTTGTCAAATATGTAAATAGCATGTTTTTGCAGGTGCTAAAAACCAGACTCTGAGTGTGTGTGTGTGCGTGTGTGTGTGTGTCTGTCTGTGTGTGTGTGTGTGTGTGTGTGTGTGTGTGTGTGTGTGTGTGTGTGTGTGTGAGTTCAAGACACAAGACATATTTAACCGGATGTAGCTGCAAGACGGAGCCTCGTTGACTCTCCGTTTCAATTTATCTCAAAAGTGAGGACCTCAACCTATATACCAGTTTTTAAATTGTGTTGATAGGCCAAATAAAACCAGAGTTATGATAAATTATGTCCACGATACTTGTTTTCTGCTTATTTTGATCACGTTCGGCGCTCGATCGCGCTGTATGAGACAGGAAAACATAGCATGCAGACATTAGCGACAGGTCTTACAGGCGGAAAAGGCTTGCCAAAGGAAAAAAAAAACACACCACAACATCTCTCCTATTGGTGGAAAACTTCACCACAACAACCAATCCAAAATTATATGGTGACTGATTGACAAGGGGCGGGAACTTACGTTCTTCCTGCAATATGAGAAGGGAGGGAGGGACTCTCAGCAGGGATGCAGTCTGGGACACGTAGTTGCAAACCTAGCGACTTTGTTGTTAGATTCAATGACTTTTCAGACCCCCTAACGACTTTTTTTTAGAAAGAAAGTGACTTTTATCGACTTCTTCTGGAGTTTAGAGACTCTGACATGAAGCAGGCTTTCCTTACTGAGGAGTTAGCAACGCTGCTAAGGGTGCAGAGCCACACATGCGCTCAGAGCTCTGCATGGGAGACTGAAACTGACAGAGCTGCAGCAGTTAGCAGGTTTCACCCTCAGAGACCACCAGGGGTTCATGTTGAGGCATTTTCAGTTTTTTTTTTTTTTTTTTGCCATAGACACTGTCAGCACAATCTGCAGTTACACTAACAAAAATGCTGCAAAAAACAAAGAATTATGGAAAAATTACACATGGACTAACATAGAGGAGGATCTACACAAGTTTTTTACATCATGTTTTACATCATGCATCATTTACATCATGTTTTTTTGTAGTGGCATAAATAAAAAGTGACATTTGTGAGACTATACAGTGTTTTGTAAATAATTTTACAAAGAACACCTGGGCCATTGCTTGCATTTTGATGTCAATAGAGGTAAATTACTATGTTCTTTGTTAAAAATTTGCATATGTTTTGAAGTTTACAATTTTTATTTGAAGTTTAAGTTTTAAAAACAGTTCATCACACATATTTGTGGTTTTCACAGTAAAAACGTTACTTTTTTCCACTCGGATTTTATGTTTTGTGTGTGAATTTGGGTCCAATGTGTAAATATAGTATGTCAAAATGATAAAATAACTGTAAATTGACACAGGTGAGGTTGTGCTGAAAAAAATGATACCAGGCAAGGCAAGGTAAAAATTTTGTAAGAGGAAATATAAAGGTAAAATCTAAAGTAGTCAAAAACGGCCAATAGTGACTCACAGACTCCACAGACAAGTCCCTTTGGCGCCACTCAGTGGGCAAAACTACTTTGTCTACTGTAATGTATATTTGGGTCATCTTTGGCGCCCCCTGAAACGTAAACCGTGGGGTGCAGCGTCATGATTTTTACAACTTTGAATGGCCATGGAGTGTAGATTGGCCTGAGCAAATTTGGTGTCAGTGGGACGAAAGCCTTAGGAGGAGTTAGCGAAATTCCAATGTGTGCGAATCGGCAAAAAATGCAAAATAGCCTTTTTACCGTACATTATACAGATACGCGCTTCTTGACTTTTTCGTAGATCTAATTGAGATACACATGATTGTCAATTTTTGTGTCATTTTGCCAAAGCGTACAGGCGTGACAGTCAACAATGTGTATTTTCACCTTAGGGGACAAGAAAAAATGGACTTTTTTCTCCTGCCATGGGGGGGCGCTCTTTTGGGGAGTAAAAATTCCTTCACAAATGTGTTGATGGCTGGACATTGCATCATCCTAGAAAACTTGGAGGCCAGTGAGGACAAAAATAAAAAGTTATAAGACTTTTAAAATGTGGATTTTAGGGTTATCTTTGGCGCCCCCTAGAACCTAAACCGTGGGGTGCAGCGTCATGATTTGAATAACTTTTAATGGCCATGGGGTGTAATTTGGCCTGAGCAAATGTGGTGCCGGTGGAACGAAAGCCTTCGGAGGAGTTAGCGAAATTCCAATGTGTGCGAATCGGCAAAAAATGCGGAATAACCCTTTAACCGTACATTAGACAGATACGCGCGCATGGACTTTTTTGTAGATCTTATTGAGATACATGTGTGTGTCAATTTTTGTGTCATTTTGACAAAGCGTACAGGCGTGACACTCAACAATGTGTATTTTCACCTTAGGGGACAAGAAAAAAATGGACTTTTTTCTCCTGCCATGGGGGGGCGCTCTTTTGGGGAGTAAAAATTCCTTCACAAATGTGTTGATGGCTGGACATTGCATCATCCTAGAAAACTTGGAGGCCAGTGAGGGCAAAAATAAAAAGTTATAAGACTTTTAAAAATGTGGATTTTAGGTTATCTTTGGCGCCCCCTAGAACCTAAACCGTGGGGTGCAGCGTCATGATTTGAATAACTTTTAATGGCCATGGGGTGTAGATTGGCCTGAGCAAATGTGGTGCCGGTGGAACGAAAGCCTTCGGAGGAGTTAGCGAAATTCCAATGTGTGCGGATCGGCAAAAAATGCGAAATAACCCTTTAACCGTACATTTGACAGATACGCCCGCACTGACTTTTTTGTAGATCTTATTGAGATACATGTGTGTGTCAATTTTTGTGTCATTTTGACAAAGCGTACAGGCGTGACAGTCAATAGTGTGAATTTTCACCTTAGGGGGCGCTATGGAGCCATTTTGCATTTTCTTGTTTGGGCGACTTCGGAATATCAAATTTTTCACCAGGCCCGGTCGTCCTGCCAAATTTCCTGAGTTTTCGCCAGTGGGAAGTGGGCCATTTTCCAGTTCAAAGGGGAGGAAAAAGAAGAAAGAACTAGGGCCCCGGTGGGGCACTGTCGGGCCCGAGCCGCGTTGCGCCGCCCCCGGCGCGACCGCCTCCCCCTCCCGATCGCGTCACACTCAAGGTCCAAAGATGGTGTGCGCACTTGTCTGTGGTCATTTCCCATTAAAATGAATGGGAGGCGCAGTTTCTACCAAAACACTCGCTGCAGACAAACTACATGTCCTATTTGAAAAAAGTCTGGACCATGAGTGAGGGCACAAACACAGCTAGGATATATCCAAATGGCAGATTGCTCCTCCTTACGGTGTTGCCGGGAGAGCGATGCGATTGAGCCATTGAGTGATGGGCAGGAAAAACTTGACTGTTTCTCCTGCCATGGGGGATGGGGGATGGGGGGGGGGGATGTGGATTCTTTTAAGAATGTGGATTTTTGGGTCATCTTTGGCGCCCCCTAAAACGTAAACCGTGGGGTGCAGCGTCATGATTTTTACAACTTTGAATGGCCATGGAGTGTAGATTGGCCTGAGCAAATTTGGTGTCAGTGGGACGAAAGCCTTAGGAGGAGTTAGCGAAATTCCAATGTGTGCGAATCGGCAAAAAATGCAAAATAGCCCTTTTACCGTACATTATACAGATACACGCTCTTTGACTTTTTCGTAGATCTAATTGAGATACACATGATTGTCAATTTTTGTGTCATTTTGCCAAAGCGTACAGGCGTGACAGTCAACAATGTGTATTTTCACCTTAGGGGACAAGAAAAAATGGACTTTTTTCTCCTGCCATGGGGGGGCGCTCTTTTGGCGAGTAAAAATTCCTTCACAAATGTGTTGATGGCTGGACATTGCATCATCCTAGAAAACTTGGAGGCCAGTGAGGACAAAAATAAAAAGTTATAAGACTTTTAAAAATGTGGATTTTTGGGTTATCTTTGGCGCCCCCTAGAACGTAAACCGTGGGGTGCAGCGTCATGATTTGAATAACTTTTAATGGCCATGGGGTGTAGATTGGCCTGAGCAAATGTGGTGCCGGTGGAACGAAAGCCTTCGGAGGAGTTAGCGAAATTCCAATGTGTGCGGATCGGCAAAAAATGCGAAATAACCCTTTAACCGTACATTAGACAGATACGCGCGCATTGACTTTTTTGTAGATCTTATTGAGATACATGTGTGTGTCAATTTTTGTGTCATTTTGACAAAGCGTACAGGCGTGACAGTCAATAGTGTGAATTTTCACCTTAGGGGACAAGAAAAAATGGACTTTTTTCTCCTGCCATGGGGGGGCGCTCTTTTGGGGAGTAAAAATTCCTTCACAAATGTGTTGATGGCTGGACATTGCATCATCCTAGAAAACTTGGAGGCCAGTGAGGACAAAAATAAAAAGTTATAAGACTTTTAAAAATGTGGATTTTTGGGTTATCTTTGGCGCCCCCTAGAACCTAAACCGTGGGGTGCAGCGTCATGATTTGAATAACTTTTAATGGCCATGGGGTGTAGATTGGCCTGAGCAAATGTGGTGCCGGTGGAACGAAAGCCTTCGGAGGAGTTAGCGAAATTCCAATGTGTGCGGATCGGCAAAAAATGCGAAATAACCCTTTAACCGTACATTAGACAGATACGTGCGCATGGACTTTTTTGTAGATCTTATTGAGATACATGTGTGTGTCAATTTTTGTGTCATTTTGACAAAGCGTACAGGCGTGACAGTCAATAGTGTGAATTTTCACCTTAGGGGACAAGAAAAAATGGACTTTTTTCTCCTGCCATGGGGGGGCGCTCTTTTGGGGAGTAAAAATTCCTTCACAAATGTGTTGATGGCTGGACATTGCATCATCCTAGAAAACTTGGAGGCCAGTGAGGGCAAAAATAAAAAGTTATAAGACTTTTAAATATGTGGATTTTAGGGTTATCTTTGGCGCCCCCTAGAACCTAAACCGTGGGGTGCAGCGTCATGATTTGAATAACTTTTAATGGCCATGGGGTGTAGATTGGCCTGAGCAAATGTGGTGCCGGTGGAACGAAAGCCTTCGGAGGAGTTAGCGAAATTCCAATGTGTGCGGATCGGCAAAAAATGCGAAATAACCCTTTAACCGTACATTTGACAGATACGCCCGCACTGACTTTTTTGTAGATCTTATTGAGATACATGTGTGTGTCAATTTTTGTGTCATTTTGACAAAGCGTACAGGCGTGACAGTCAATAGTGTGAATTTTCACCTTAGGGGGCGCTATGGAGCCATTTTGCATTTTCTTGTTTGGGCGACTTCGGAATATCAAATTTTTCACCAGGCCCGGTCGTCCTGCCAAATTTCATGAGTTTTCGCCAGTGGGAAGTGGGCCATTTTCCAGTTCAAAGGGGAGGAAAAATAATAATAACTAGGACCCCGTTGGGGCACTGGCGGGCCCGAGCCGTGTCGCGTCCCCCCCCCAACGCGCTGCCTCCCCGTCCCATTTGTGTCCTCTGGCCATCGCCCTCTCTGGTAACGCCCATCACTGCAAAGACCCTTTTCCTTCATCGGCGTTTGCTGTTCTTCCTGCCAGTGCATGTTGCTTTCACTTACACTTGCCACAGCCAGCCTCGTGAGTGCCTAGCCTATTGGATATCACTGTCACCTACACAGGACAGTCATT